AGGAAGGGGGAGAGGAAGGGGGAGAGGAAGGGGGAGAGGAAGGGGTGGGAAGGGGTGGGAAGGGGTGGGAGGGGGAAACGAGGTGTGATGCGCGCTTGCTACAATAGCCCACGGCGGAGCCAGAATACACTCCAACAAAGTAGTCCGTCAGCACACCTTACTTCTCACCTCTCGATAGCAGGGGGCTCCAGTAGATTCCATCATAGCTCACTCGCCCCCATCCTCCCTGGTTTGGATCAGCCGTGGCCCGTCGGATCCAAACGAAAATGTGATGGGCCCCCACCCAAAGCACCTGCACAGCCTATTTTTGAGGCGCCTAAAAAATGTGAACCACCCAAAGCACCTGCACAGCCCCATTCTCTCACCGCTCACTCAAACAGGCTGACCTCTCATTGGCCGGGGGGTTCCAGTAGATGCCATCGTAGCTCGCCCCCATCTTGCCCGGCTCAGCCGTGGCCCATCGGATCCAAGCCGGGATGCGCTCCACCCACCCGCCGTCCCCCTTCTGCAGCCGAATCTTCACTCGAGATCCGTGCGCGATCGCCGGGCGGCCGTCTCTGTCTGGTAGCCGCACCGACCACACGCCGAAATGATTGCGCTCCATCCAGCAGGACTCGCCGTTCCACCCGTTGAAATCGCCGACTAGCTGCGCGGCACTGTGATAGTGAGGGGGGAAAAGGAGGAGGGGGAAAACGGGGGGGGAAGGGGGAAGGGGGAAGTGGGGGGAGAGGGATCAGATGGTTGTTTGATCGATCAACAATAACCTTTGTTCCACCCGTTGTAGCTCGAGGGGTCCACCCGCCCACTAGCTGTAATTGCCCATGAGCCCACTAGCTGTAATTGCCCATGAGCCCACTAGCTGTAATTGCCCATGAGCCCACTAGCTGTAATTGCCCATGAGCCCACTAGCTGTAATTGCCCATGAGCCCACTAGCTGTAATTGCCCATGAGCCCACTAGCTGCGTAGCCCATGAGCCCACTAGCTGCGTAGCCCATGAGCCCACTAGCTGTAATTGCCCATGAGCCCACTAGCTGTAATTTCCCATGAGCCCACTAGCTGTAATTGCCCATGAGCCCACTAGCTGCGTAGCCCATGAGCCCACTAGCTGTAATTGCCCATGAGCCCACTAGCTGTGATTTCCCATCAACCCACTAGCTGTAATTGCCCATGAGCCCACTAGCTGCGTAGCACTGTAATTGTCTTGTCACGGACGCAACAGACAAGGATGATATGCTTGTTGCTGAGTCAAGCAACAAACACCTCGTTGTACGTGTTGAACTCAAGAGGCTAGCTGGGCAGGGCTGTGATTGTAAGGGGGGAAGAAACAAAGTTAGTACTTGGCATAACTCAGCAATGCCATTGAGTGCAACCAAAAGCAAGTTAGCATTCGGCATAACAGCAAACCTTCTTTAGCACCAGAGAGAAAGAAGAGAACGAGAGGGGCAGGATTCTGGTGAAAATTTCTGCTAAAAAAGGAATTCGTTAGAATCAGACTCGATAATCCTGTAAATCCAACTCACGTGGCAGCAGGGCATTACAGTCAGCTTACGCCCTTCAACTCACGTGGCAGCAGGGCTTTAAAGCCCAACTTACGCCTTTCAATCAACTCACGTGGCAGCAGGAGCCCACTCGCGGTAGACTATGGCATCCTTCTCCCGTGTGAAGCCCATCGTCTCATACCCTGCCATGCACGCAGTGCAAGTTACAGTGGAGAGGATGCGCATTGGATGGATGCGCATTGGATGGGTGCACATTAAATGGTTGCACAGTGGATGGTTGCGCATTTGATGGTTGCACATTGGATGGTTGCGCATTTGATGGTTGCACATTGGATGGTTGCGCATTTGATGGTTGCACATCGGATGCATGGATGCACCCTAAATGGTTGCACAGTGGATGGTTGCACAGTGGGTGGTTGCACATTGGATGGTTGCACATTGTTATGTGTTGCAAGTTTCGACTGCATACCTGGGTGTGCGCATAATCCAAGACCAGGAGGTGATAACTGGAATCCTGAAAACAACTCACCACGGGAGAATTGGTCCAGCCCGCCTTCATGCTGCTCCAGCGCCCTCTTGAGCTTGAGGAACTGTGTGCATCAGTAGCGCAGGTGGGGCTCAGCCAGAGGGGGCCCTGCCACAGGTCCCCTCCTAGCCCACCTCGGGAAGGAAGGTCGCTCACCTCGGGAGAAGTGGTCCAGCCCCCCTTCATGTTGCTCCAGTGCTCGTTTCAGCTTGAGGAACTGCGCGTAGCGGTAGCGCAGGTGGGGCTCGTGGGAGGCCAGCAGGGGGTCCTGCTTCACCACTCCCAGCCCGTCGGGGGAGTACTCCACCTCGTTCCAGATCAGGGGGGGCTCGCTTGCCACTTTGCCTGTGCTGTCGCCAGGAGCAGAGCGCAGGGGCGGCAGCCGGCGGACGGGGAAGACAGTGCGGCTCACATGGCACCTGGTGGTCTGAAGAGGGGCGAAGTAGATGAGGAAAGATTAACGTGAACGAAGCAGATGGGACTGATAGTTAGAGCCAGCCGCATGTAAGCCTCTTCCGCTTCCTTCATACATCTACCATCCGCAGCAACCTTCCTCTTCACCCTTCAATCAAACACCCATCCCAACATCTATCCCAACACTCCACCCCAATACTCACCCCAACACCACTCCACATTAAACAGGTGGGCCTCTTGTGCCCCCTCTCCCTCCTCGCTACCACCCGCAGCAGCCCACTCCCTCCCCCCTGGAAAAGAGGAAGAGAGAGGGAGAAGAATAAGAGGGGATGAGGCGAAAAGAGTGGCAGGACAGTATTGCCAAGAAATTCGAAGGGGGGAAACGGAAGAAACAGAAGGGTTCTGAGAGGTTGAGAGGAAAGAGAAGAGAAGAGTAGATTGAGGATGGGGTCAAGACCCGCGAGTGACTCAAAGTGCTAAAGAATTGGGAAAGAGTGTTAAGACGAGCAGGTTCAGGCGCAAGGTCGGAAGCAGCAGGCATGTGGTGTGCGATGAGAAATAGGCAGGGGCTAAATACGATGAATACGATGAAGCAGCAGGGGCTGAATTGAGATCCTTCATACGAAGGTAGGAAGGTTGTTGGGTTGACAAACCAGGAAGTTACGCGCGGCGTCCTGTGAAACTACGAAAGCTTTTGAGTCGACTCAAAAGCGCGCGGCGTCCTGTGACACTGCGAAATTACCTCAACTGGCGAGCTCGCAGGTCGCTGTAACCTCAGCGGTGAGGGAGTGAGACCCGAGAGGTAGGACGGAGTGGGGGAAGCGCGCACGCTCGAGCACGGGAACATGGGTGCAAGCCTAAATCGAACCACGCCGAGAAACACACAGGCCTAACGAAAGGCGAAGCGGGGAGATGGAGGATAACCTAGCACGGCAGCAGCAGCAGCAGCAAATTCTGCTGTGAGATGACCTAGGTCAGCTCTTAGATTCGCGATGACCTAACGGAATCACGAATGAACTAGCAAGAAGGCCGCCGGGAGTCGCAGTCGTCTTAAGCGTGAGAAGCAAACCCTAGATCGCTAACCACAGCAGAATCGCTGAAAATTTCTTAAAGCCCGACTAAGAACGCTCTAGTTCTGGAGGCCTGTCCTGGCACCAGAGGCTCCTCCCCTCCCCTGAAACGGAGACTCTAACCGCGCCCCAAGAAGGTTCGCCGAAGGTACGCCTCCTCCCCCTCCACTGGTTCCAGGTGCACTAGCGGCAGCGGCGGCAGCGGCGGCGGCGAGTCTTCTGGCTTCGAAGTACTCCTCCCGATCTTCGGGTTTCAGCTCGATCCGAGTGGGATTCCGACGAAGCATCGGCGACGAACGTTAGGTGCACATCTGTATCTTAGTAGAATTCCAGCAGAGTTAGACCGTCTCAATTTCGGATGACGACGCGATGATAAAGAATGACTGATGAACGACACAGACGGCTTTGGGAGTAGACGCTGGACGGTATGCTGGACGGGTAACCGAGATACGAACAAGCCGTAACGGGCTACTTCTAATCTCCACCTGATTGTCTTCTACAAAACAGAGATCCCAGTGGAAATTACAATCGAGATTGAGAGGCGCAGGCTGGTCAATCCCCCTGAACAACAAATGTCAACAAGCTACCTCCGAGTGACCAAAAGGCAAACCGGCGCACAGGCAAGCGCACAGGCAAGCGCACAGGCAAGCGCACAACGGCAGTCTAAGGCCGACGTCGGTGCCTCGGGGGACTTGACAGAGCAAGATAAAAAATGCGAGCGTCGACCTCGCGAAACTGCAACGGTAGAGCTATGACAGACCTGTGAACATATTCCTTGAGGCTGGAAGAGTTACCTTGTAGGAATATATTTTCTGGACAGCAGTGAGTCAGCTACTGTAATCAGTGCTCTCTGGTGGGCGGGGGCATTTAGTTATGTTGCCCCTCGAAATTGTCTTGCTCCGCGAAAAATATTATACCGGGTTACCAGATCTGCGTCTCTCGTGGCTTCGTACATCCCCAGGTCATCGACCCCAGTTGACAAGCACGAAAGAACGGTCCAGCCAAGGGCAGAGACTTCTAGAGCAAAACCCGAGGTGCGGAGCGACGGGGGAGGCTGGGGAGATTGGCGGGCGGGATAGGGAGGTGTGGGGGAAGTGTGGAATGCGCGAATCCAAATGGGTGGCCCCAAGCATTTCGCGGTCCGCCGACCCCTTTTGCAAGCGGAGCTTCTGCCGCCCACTGGGAATACGTGAGGGCAGGGCAGGGCCCGGAAACTACCAGAGCAGGTGCCCCACTATAAGGAGATCGTAACATGCGAACTGAAGCAAACTGACCTAGTCGGGCATGTTACATCGCGTAAGTGATATGGAATGTAAGTTATGCAACGTGTCCAAGTGGCCACAACATGTGTACCACATAGTAAGAATATGTAGTTGGTGGCAAGTGGCGTCCATGGCTTTTTTAATGCCTACCTACATGGAGACGACCTTGCCTGCACCACTCTTGTTGGACAGACAATGCGGGAACTTGCGTGGATCTCGATTATGCACGAGTATTCTCGGGTGCTTGCTTACACATTATATACACCGCAGCTATTGGCATTATTAATCCTTGTCCCAAACATGCACCAACCTAGACGCAAGCAAAGCCAGCACCAGCGGTGAAATCGAGAGCCGAGCCGCCACCTGTCCTCCCAGCCACACCACGACCGCCACCAATGCCGCCGTCCTGTGGCAAAACATGGGCCCAGCAACCCACTGAACCGCACTCAACCCCACAACCAGAACCAGACCCCTCACCCCCCCCAGGCGCCACGCCACAATCCCGGCTATCTGGTACCCGCGCTGGTTCCCCCACATGAGAGCAAAGGCGAGCACGCCTAGCAAGCGCTCGCTGCCGAACGCCACAGCACATGAGAAGAGAAGGAAGAGGGCGAATGACAGGGATAGGGCGGACGAGACAGACCGGAGACCGCCTGGGAAGAGCGAGCGGAGGCGGTAGAGGGCGAAGCGGCGCGCGTCGGCCACCCATGGGCCGAGGAAAACGCGTGAGAAGGATAGAGGGAGGGTGAAGGGCTCCAAGGAGGGATGCCTGCCTTCTGCCCCCTCCTCCTCCTCCTCCTGCCACCTGGATCGATCCCATTCGTCCGCACGGTCATCCGATCGGTGGCGTGGATGTGTGCGGTTACCACCCTGGCGTTGCTTGTCATAAGCCTCCCTATATGAGTGGCTGTGGCTGTGGCTGTGTGATCTTCTCGTGTGCCGTTGCTGTGTTTCCCATTGCTCCCACCTACCTCCATCTTGCTGCTGCTGCTGCTGCTGCTGCTGTTCATCATGAGTGGTGTGCGAGCCATATGCAGCGCTTGCACGGTAGAACCGGGCGTCGGACTGCGCTTGGGCTTGGCTGTGCGCTGCTCTGCGCTGCCGTCTGACCCCCGACTTCACCTGCGAGTAGTTGAGCGGCCAGCGGAAAAAGGAGGCTGAATCCTGGTGGGAATCTTCTGCTGCTCCTGCTTCCTCTGCTGACGAGTTGGCTGATGATGCTGATGCTGATGCTGAGTAGGCAGATGAGCGGGTGCCAGGTCGGTAGGATGTGGAGGGGGAACCCACCAGTCACCTGTATCACGAGGGAATGCAGCGGAGGAGTAGGGAGCTGACTCTGATGCTGCTGCTGCTGCCGCTGCACCTGCAGATGCTGAGGTGGTGGCAGCAGCAGCGGCGGAAGGATGACCATGCGGGCCCCAGTAGAAATGTGTAGGTTGGGTCCGGTAAGGCCCGGTGGCTGTCTCTTCTGGTGCGAGTGTGAAGTCGTACTGCTGCCGTTGCTGGTCGTTGGATAGAACCTGGTGGGGGGAGGGAGAATGAGCGGTGAATGAAGCAGATCGCTCTTTAGTCACAAGAAGAAGAAAAGGAATAGGAAGAAGAAGAAAAACTGCTGCCGCTGCTGGTCGTTGGTTTGTACCTGGTGGACGGTTGACGAGCATCGGAAGAGGCGGAGGCATGAATTTGGGTACAATAAAGCCAAAGCACTAAATACTCGAGAGACGATATACATGTGCAATGCAGTCCATGTGTCAATCAACGTAAATCTTGGGCTGACTGCAATGCACACAGTCAATGCACGCAGTCAATGCACGCAGTCAATGCACACAGTCAATGCACACAGTCAATGCACACAGTCAATGCACACAGTCAATGCACACAGTCAATGCACACAGTCAATGCACACAGTCAATGCACACAGTCAATGCACACAGTCAATGCACACAGTCAATGCACACAGTCAATGCATGTAGCTCATGTTCGGATGCACCCCATGCTTGCTTGCATGCATCAAGCACATAGAGCATGCATGCCTTATGTCACGAATGAGCAACCTAAAAACCCTCTACCCCCATTCGGTCGCCCCATACCCCCATTCGGTCGCCCCATACCCCCATTCGGTCGCCCCATACCCCCATTCGGTCGCCCCATACCCCCATTCGGTCGCCCCATACCCCCATTCAGTCACCTCATAAGCAGCCAGAATCGCACGGAAAGCCTGGGTGGACTGGTGGTGATGCGACACGTCCGGATGGCACTGGGGCGGGGGGAAGGGGGAAAGGGGGGGGGGGGGAAGGGGGAAGGGGAAGGGGGAAGGGGGAAGGGGGAAAGGGGAAAGGGACGAGGAGGGAAGTGAGAGGAGGAAGGGGGAGGGGATTGGAGGAGGGCGGAGGGGATTGGAGGAGGGCGTGCGGATCTAGGAAGGAGGAATGCCTGGGTGGACTGGCAGTGATGCGACACGTCTGCATGGCGGAGGGACATGACAGTTAGGGGGAGGGGAGAGGAGAAAATGTTTGCGGAACGGAACCAACCACTATGCTTACAGCAGCAGTGCCCTCCACAAGTGCAGCTGCCCTGCAGGGCTGCCCTGCAGGACCCTGTCCACAAGTGTTACAAGAGCAGCACTCTCTGGCGCAAGTGACACTCTTGTAAGGGTGCGCTAACACAGTACCTTGCGAGCCAACCGTCTAAAGGCAGCCTTAATCTCCTGCTTGCTGGCGCGCCTCGGCACTCCCAAGGTCACATAGTGGTTTCTAAAACCCGCATTGCCAGCACCCTCGCTTTCCCTTTCTTCGTTTCTTCCCCACTCTGACCGCCCCGCCCCTTCCCCCCGCCAAGACCTTCCCCTCCCCCATTCCGCTCCGCCTGCTCCCCCGCCTTCCTTCCTTCCCCCTCTTCCCGTCCTTCCGCTGCCCTCATCATCCCCCGCTGCCCACCGTCCCCTCTCCCAGGCGCCCCTCCCCTCCACCCTCCCCCTCCCCCAATCCGCCCCTCTCCGCGCCTCTCCGGAGGATCGCGGGGAAGACTGGTTCCGCCCCCAGTCATTCCCCCCTCCCCATCTTCCGCCCCCTCTCCCCCAGTCATTCCCGCCGCCCCGCCTACCGCCCCCCCTCCCCCAATCATCCTCTCTCCGTGGCCCTCCGGTCGAGGCGACGAAAACAAACCGCTCGGGCGTGCGTGGTTTACGGAGCTGCCGCGATCGACGCGCATTCCGGACGGGGAGGGTCTGTGGAACGTGAGCGTTGAATGCGGGGAGGTGGGGAAGAGCGAATGGCCGTGCGCCACGTGGCGAAATGCCCTGATGTCCCGACCGCGTGGAGAGGGGAAGAAGGCGGGAGAATTCTCTGCTTAATGCGGGCATCGCGCGCGCGCGCTTGCGGAAGTCAAGGGGGCGGGTTCCGCCGTCAAGCGGAGGACACTCCCAGGTGTGCAGCTGTGAGGGAACTTCCTCCGTCAAGCTCTTGGCGCCCAGCTTTTATCGTCAAGCGGAGCATTCCTTGGCGCAACTCGCGCAAGCGTCAGGTGTGGGGTGCGCTTCAAGTGTTGCCTCGCGCCTCCGTGGGGAATGTGCAAGCCCTCCCTGTAAAGTTCGAAGCTGTGACCTATTCCCGTTTTAGAAGTATTTCATTTTCATACAAGAACGATGGTAATCACGTGTTTCCTGTGCCTTATAATTAATGCGTGTATGATTTCTTGAACTAATAGTGCTACACCATATCAATTAGAGAACCACTTGCACATCCTATCCAACCAGCGTACGTTCTCATGGTGCTCCTTGCATTCTAGGTACACCCGGATATAGCGTGCAAGGACTCCCGTAAATCCTCGACGAAATAGATATGTTTCCCATTCTTGCTGCAACTCTGGGCTCAGTAGACTGTTGCTCATTCCAGTCAACGAGCAGGGAAAATGAGGGGGGGGTTGAGGGGGGAGCGGGGGGAGGGGGAGAGGGAGGAGAGGGGAAGGAGAGGGGAGGAGAGGGGAGGAGAGGGGGAGGAGAGGGGGAGGAGAGGGGGAGGAGAGGGGGAGGAGAGGGGGAGGAGAGGGGGAGGAGAGGGGGGGAGAGGGGGAGGGAAGAGAAAACGAGAGAGGCCTGAGTTGAACAAAGGAGCGGACAACATAGAGAAACCGTGTACAGTGGTAATGGCTCAGCACCAGGCAGTCAACCGTTATAACATAGAAAAAGCAACAGAGCAGAAACTCACTCGTGTGGTTGCCCATAGGCAGGAACGTGCGAAGGTGATGCCTGGGGATGGATCAATAACACCTGGAAAACATTCAGCACCAAGACTTGCAACAGTGCAACTCACTCGTGTGGTTGCCCATAGGCAGGAACTCGTGAAGGTGATGCCTGGGGATCGATGAATAATACCTGGAAAACATTCAGCACCAAGACTTGCAACAGTGCAACTCACTCGTGTGGTTGCCCATAGGCAGGAACGCGCGAAGGTGGAGCCTGGGGATCCACTGACTCCACACGGAGGATCTTCCAGTGGTGGTGGCCTAGCACCAGGCAGTCGATCGTTACCAGACAGAAGGAGCAACAGAGTAAAACCCAGCACGAACTCACTCATGCGGTTGCCCATAGGCAGGAACGCGCGAAGGTGGAGCCTGGGGATCCACTGACTCCACACGGAGGATCTTCCAGTGGTGGTGGCCCAGCACCAGGCAGTCGATCATTACCAGACAGAAGGAGCAACAGAGTAAAACACAGCACGAACTCACTCATGCGGTTGCCCGTAGGCAGGAACGCGCGAAGGTGGAGCCTGGGGATCCACTGACTCCACACGGAGGATCTTCCAATAGTGGTGGCCCAGCACCAGGCAGTCGACCGTTACCAGACAGAAGGAGCAACAGAGTAAAACACAGCACGAACTCACTCATGCGGTTGCCCATAGGCAGGAACGCGCGAAGGTGGAGCCTGGGGATCCACTGACTCCACACGGAGGATCTTCCAGTGGTGGTGGCCCAGCACCAGGCAGTCGATCGTTACCAGACAGAAGGAGCAACAGAGTAAAACACAGCACGAACTCACTCATGCGGTTGCCCATAGGCAGGAACGCGCGAAGGTGGAGCCTGGGGATCCACTGACTCCACACGGAGGATCTTCCAGTGGTGGTGGCCCAGCACCAGGCAGTCGATCGTTACCAGACAGAAGGAGCAACAGAGTAAAACACAGCACGAACTCACTCATGCGGTTGCCCATAGGCAGGAACGCGCGAAGGTGGAGCCTGGGGATCCAGTGACTCCACTCGGAGGATCTTCCAGTGGTGGTGGCCCAGCACCAGGCAGTCGACCGTTACCAGACAGAAGGAGCAACAGATTAAAACACAGCACGAACTCACTCGTGTGGTTGCCCATAAGCAGGAACGCGCGAAGGTGGAGCCTGGGGATCCAGTGACTCCACTCGGAGGATCTTCCAGTGGTGGTGGCCCAGCACCAGGCAGTCGATCGTTATCGGGTATGCAGCCACTGCTCCTGATGCTGCTGGCGCTGTTGACCCTGCTGCTTCTCCTGCTGCTTCTATACAGATTGCACCTGCTTCTTGCAATTCTTGAGGCGCCTCAAAAGTAGACCCTGCTGCTTCTCCTGGCGCTGTTTCCATAGGGATTGCGCCTGCTCCTTGCATTTCTGCAGCAGCTGCAGTCGCAGAAGGCCGGGCTTCTGGTGTTGCCGCCGGTAGTTGCTGTTTCTCCTGTAAATTCCCCGGTCTAGAACGAGCTGGGTTTTGACTCTTGCTGTCGCGGATGGCTTTGAGACTGCAGATGCTCACTCGCACGTGGATGGGCGTCAGGTTAAAGCCCTGGTTGGTCTGCCACTGCACGGTGGGGAATCGACGACGAAGGGAACAAGAGAGAGAAAAGTAGAGCAGGGGTGCACAGCCGGAGAGTGCAGTTTGCGGGTGGCCTGGAGGCTGCAGATGCTCACTCACACGTGGATGGGCGTCAGGTTAAAGCCCTGGTTGGTCTGCCACTGCACGGTGGGGAGACGAGTGTCAACAGGAATGAGAGACACAATACGAAGCGGAACAGCAAGGCAAGGGCAGCGAGTTGCCACGCCGGAACTGCAAAAAGGCAGCTCTAAAAAGGCATGCAAGTGGGTTGGAAAAGGCAATCAGAAAATCCTGTGACGATTTGTAGCCATTAAGCATTAGGGTGGGCTGCAGCGAAAAGGAAAACTTTAGCAAAAAGAGTAACAGTGGGTTGGACAAGGCAATCAGTGAGTAACAGTGGGTAAAGATACCCCTGTTCAAAAATCGACTCATTACGCATGCAAGTGGGTTGGACAAGGCACAGGTGATTTTTTAGTCGACTCAAAATTTGCCACTGCCTGGTAACCAGATCCTCCAGAAGGGGGTCATTATGGATGAACCATGAGGGCCACAGATTAAGAGCTTCAGGGGGTATAATAGACGCACCTCGATCTCTGTCCGTTCATCTGCCTCCATCCCCTCCATAAGCCTCTCCTGCCACTGCCCAGTAACCAGATCCTCCATCGTAACCCCCTCCACCCTCCGGTCTTCTTTTGAAGCGCCTAAAAAATCGTCTGATGACCCAGCGGCTTGGAAAATACAAGGGGGTTAGGGGTTTATAATAGACGCACCTCGATCTCTGTCCGTTCATCTGTCTCCATCCCCTCCATAAGCCTCTCCTGCCACTGCCCGGTAACCAGATCCTCCATCGTAACCCCCTCCACCCTCCCCCTCTTCTGCCACCGCCTCTTCTTCCTCTCCTCCTCACTCAACCCCCTCCCTGCCTCCTCCTCCTCCTCCTCCTCTCTCCCCCCCTTCCCCTCCCTTTCCTCCACGAATTTTGCAACGAGCAAGATGTCTTCTCTGTCCTCCTCGCTCTCTCGCCGCAGCGTCAGCAGCATCTGGTGCCCGCTGGGCTCCACTCTGAACTTGGAAGGAGGGGGCTCCAGCAGAGGCTGTGGTGGAAGTGGCGAGGAAGAAAGAGATGAGTGTGACTTGGAAAAAGGTCTTCATTTCTCACTCTCTCGCCGCAGCCTCAGCAGCATCTGGTGCTCGCTGGGGTCCAATCTGGACTTGGAAGGAGGCTCCAGCAGAGGACGAGGCTGCAATAAGGCAGGAATGAGGCTCGGTCGGCGTGATGCTCACCGTTGCTCAGGCATGGCGCTTGGGTACCCCCCATCTCACACGCCTTTTGATTTTTGAGGCGCCTCAAAAAGGCGCTTGGGTACCCCCCATCTCACACGCCTTTTGATTTTTGAGGCGCCTCAAAAAGGCGCTTGGTACCCCCATCTCACACGCCTTTTGATTTTTGAGGCGCCTCAAAAAGGCGCTTGGGTACCCCCCATCTCACACGCCTTTTGATTTTTGAGGCGCCTCAAAAAGGCGCTTGGGTACCCCCCATCTCACACGCCTTTTGATTTTTGAGGCGCCTCAAAAAGGCGCTTGGGTAACCCCCATCTCACACGCCTTTTGATTTTTGAGGCGCCTCAAAAGGCGCTTGGTACCCCCATCTCACACGCCTTTTGATTTTTGAGGCGCCTCAAAAAGGCGCTTGGGTACCCCCCATCTCACACGCCTTTTGATTTTTGAGGCGCCTCAAAAAGGCGCTTGGGTACCCCCCATCTCACACGCCTTTTGATTTTTGAGGCGCCTCAAAAAGGCGCTTGGGTACCCCCCATCTCACACGCCTTTTGATTTTTGAGGCGCCTCAAAAAGGCGCTTGGGTACCCCCCATCTCACACGCCTTTTGATTTTTGAGGCGCCTCAAAAAGGCGCTTGGGTACCCCCCATCTCACACGCCTTTTGATTTTTGAGGCGCCTCAAAAAGGCGCTTGGGTACCCCCCATCTCACAAGCCTTTTGATTTTTGAGGCGCCTCAAAAAGGCGCTTGGGTAACCCCATCTCACACGCCTTTTGATTTTTGAGGCGCCTCAAAAAGGCGCTTGGGTACCCCCCATCTCACAAGCCTTTTGATTTTTGAGGCGCCTCAAAAAGGCGCTTGGGTAACCCCCATCTCACACGCCTTTTGATTTTTGAGGCGCCTCAAAAAGGCGCTTGGGTACCCCCCATCTCACACGCCTTTTGATTTTTGAGGCGCCTCAAAAAGGCGCTTGGGTACCCCCCATCTCACACGCCTTTTGATTTTTGAGGCGCCTCAAAAAGGCGCTTGGGTACCCCCCATCTCACACGCCTTTTGATTTTTGAGGCGCCTCAAAAAGGCGCTTGGGTACCCCCCATCTCACACGCCTTTTGATTTTTGAGGCGCCTCAAAAAGGCGCTTGGGTACCCCCCATCTCACACGCCTTTTGATTTTTGAGGCGCCTCAAAAAGGCGCTTGGGTAACCCCCATCTCACACGCCTTTTGATTTTTGAGGCGCCTCAAAAAGGCGCTTGGGTACCCCCCATCTCACACGCCTTTTGATTTTTGAGGCGCCTCAAAAAGGCGCTTGGGTACCCCCATCTCACACGCCTTTTGATTTTTGAGGCGCCTCAAAAAGGCGCTTGGGTACCCCCCATCTCACACGCCTTTTGATTTTTGAGGCGCCTCAAAAAGGCGCTTGGGTACCCCCCATCTCACACGCCTTTTGATTTTTGAGGCGCCTCAAAAAGGCGCTTGGGTACCCCCATCTCACACGCCTTTTGATTTTTGAGGCGCCTCAAAAAGGCGCTTGGGTACCCCCATCTCACACGCCTTTTGATTTTTGAGGCGCCTCAAAAAGGCGCTTGGGTACCCCCATCTCACAAGCCTTTTGATTTTTGAGGCGCCTCAAAAAGGCGCTTGGGTAACCCCCATCTCACACGCCTTTTGATTTTTGAGGCGCCTCAAAAAGGCGCTTGGGTACCCCCCATCTCACAAGCCTTTTGATTTTTGAGGCGCCTCAAAAAGGCGCTTGGGTAACCCCCATCTCACACGCCTTTTGATTTTTGAGGCGCCTCAAAAAGGCGCTTGGGTACCCCCCATCTCACACGCCTTTTGATTTTTGAGGCGCCTCAAAAAGGCGCTTGGGTACCCCCCATCTCACACGCCTTTTGATTTTTGAGGCGCCTCAAAAAGGCGCTTGGGTACCCCCATCTCACACGCCTTTTGATTTTTGAGGCGCCTCAAAAAGGCGCTTGGGTAACCCCCATCTCACACGCCTTTTGATTTTTGAGGCGCCTCAAAAAGGCGCTTGGGTACCCCCCATCTCACACGCCTTTTGATTTTTGAGGCGCCTCAAAAAGGCGCTTGGGTACCCCCCATCTCACACGCCTTTTGATTTTTGAGGCGCCTCAAAAAGGCGCTTGGGTACCCCCCATCTCACACGCCTTTTGATTTTTGAGGCGCCTCAAAAAGGCGCTTGGGTACCCCCCATCTCACACGCCTTTTGATTTTTGAGGCGCCTCAAAAAGGCGCTTGGGTACCCCCCATCTCACACGCCTTTTGATTTTTGAGGCGCCTCAAAAAGGCGCTTGGGTACCCCCATCTCACACGCCTTTTGATTTTTGAGGCGCCTCAAAAAGGCGCTTGGGTACCCCCCATCTCACAAGCCTTTTGATTTTTGAGGCGCCTCAAAAAGGCGCTTGGGTAACCCCCATCTCACACGCCTTTTGATTTTTGAGGCGCCTCAAAAAGGCGCTTGGGTACCCCCCATCTCACAAGCCTTTTGATTTTTGAGGCGCCTCAAAAAGGCGCTTGGGTAACCCCCATCTCACACGCCTTTTGATTTTTTGAGGCGCCTCAAAAAGGCGCTTGGGTACCCCCCATCTCACACGCCTTTTGATTTTTGAGGCGCCTCAAAAAGGCGCTTGGGTACCCCCCATCTCACACGCCTTTTGATTTTTGAGGCGCCTCAAAAAGGCGCTTGGGTACCCCCCATCTCACACGCCTTTTGATTTTTGAGGCGCCTCAAAAAGGCGCTTGGGTACCCCCCATCTCACACGCCTTTTGATTTTTGAGGCGCCTCAAAAAGGCGCTTGGGTACCCCCCATCTCACACGCCTTTTGATTTTTGAGGCGCCTCAAAAAGGCGCTTGGGTACCCCCCATCTCACACGCCTTTTGATTTTTGAGGCGCCTCAAAAAGGCGCTTGGGTACCCCCCATCTCACACGCCTTTTGATTTTTGAGGCGCCTCAAAAAGGCGCTTGGGTACCCCCCATCTCACACGCCTTTTGATTTTTGAGGCGCCTCAAAAAGGCGCTTGGGTACCCCCCATCTCGCACGCCTTTTGATTTTTGAGGCGCCTCAAAAAGGCGCTTGGGTACCCCCCATCTCACACGCCTTTTGATTTTTGAGGCGCCTCAAAAAGGCGCTTGGGTAACCCCCATCTCACACGCCTTTTGATTTTTGAGGCGCCTCAAAAAGGCGCTTGGGTACCCCCCATCTCACACGCCTTTTGATTTTTGAGGCGCCTCAAAAAGGCGCTTGGGTACCCCCCATCTCACACGCCTTTTGATTTTTGAGGCGCCTCAAAAAGGCGCTTGGGTACCCCCCATCTCACACGCCTTTTGATTTTTGAGGCGCCTCAAAAAGGCGCTTGGGTACCCCCCATCTCACACGCCTTTTGATTTTTGAGGCGCCTCAAAAAGGCGCTTGGGTACCCCCCATCTCACACGCCTTTTGATTTTTGAGGCGCCTCAAAAAGGCGCTTGGGTACCCCCCATCTCACACGCCTTTTGATTTTTGAGGCGCCTCAAAAAGGCGCTTGGGTACCCCCCATCTCACAAGCCTTTTGATTTTTGAGGCGCCTCAAAAAGGCGCTTGGGTAACCCCCATCTCACACGCCTTTTGATTTTTGAGGCGCCTCAAAAAGGCGCTTGGGTACCCCCCATCTCACAAGCCTTTTGATTTTTGAGGCGCCTCAAAAAGGCGCTTGGGTAACCCCCATCTCACACGCCTTTTGATTTTTGAGGCGCCTCAAAAAGGCGCTTGGGTACCCCCCATCTCACACGCCTTTTGATTTTTGAGGCGCCTCAAAAAGGCGCTTGGGTACCCCCCATCTCACACGCCTTTTGATTTTTGAGGCGCCTCAAAAAGGCGCTTGGGTACCCCCCATCTCACACGCCTTTTGATTTTTGAGGCGCCTCAAAAAGGCGCTTGGGTAACCCCCATCTCACACGCCTTTTGATTTTTGAGGCGCCTCAAAAAGGCGCTTGGGTACCCCCCATCTCACACGCCTTTTGATTTTTGAGGCGCCTCAAAAAGGCGCTTGGGTACCCCCATCTCACACGCCTTTTGATTTTTGAGGCGCCTCAAAAAGGCGCTTGGGTACCCCCCATCTCACACGCCTTTTGATTTTTGAGGCGCCTCAAAAAGGCGCTTGGGTACCCCCCATCTCACACGCCTTTTGATTTTTGAGGCGCCTCAAAAAGGCGCTTGGGTACCCCCCATCTCACACGCCTTTTGATTTTTGAGGCGCCTCAAAAAGGCGCTTGGGTACCCCCCATCTCACACGCCTTTTGATTTTTGAGGCGCCTCAAAAAGGCGCTTGGGTACCCCCCATCTCACAAGCCTTTTGATTTTTGAGGCGCCTCAAAAAGGCGCTTGGGTAACCCCCATCTCACACGCCTTTTGATTTTTGAGGCGCCTCAAAAAGGCGCTTGGGTACCCCCCATCTCACAAGCCTTTTGATTTTTGAGGCGCCTCAAAAAGGCGCTTGGGTAACCCCCATCTCACACGCCTTTTGATTTTTGAGGCGCCTCAAAAAGGCGCTTGGGTACCCCCCATCTCACACGCCTTTTGATTTTTGAGGCGCCTCAAAAAGGCGCTTGGGTACCCCCCATCTCACACGCCTTTTGATTTTTGAGGCGCCTCAAAAAGGCGCTTGGGTACCCCCCATCTCACACGCCTTTTGATTTTTGAGGCGCCTCAAAAAGGCGCTTGGGTACCCCCCATCTCACACGCCTTTTGATTTTTGAGGCGCCTCAAAAAGGCGCTTGGGTACCCCCCATCTCACACGCCTTTTGATTTTTGAGGCGCCTCAAAAAGGCGCTTGGGTAACCCCCATCTCACACGCCTTTTGATTTTTGAGGCGCCTCAAAAAGGCGCTTGGGTACCCCCCATCTCACACGCCTTTTGATTTTTGAGGCGCCTCAAAAAGGCGCTTGGGTACCCCCCATCTCACACGCCTTTTGATTTTTGAGGCGCCTCAAAAAGGCGCTTGGGTACCCCCCATCTCACACGCCTTTTGATTTTTGAGGCGCCTCAAAAAGGCGCTTGGGTACCCCCCATCTCACACGCCTTTTGATTTTTGAGGCGCCTCAAAAAGGCGCTTGGGTACCCCCCATCTCACACGCCTTTTGATTTTTGAGGCGCCTCAAAAAGGCGCTTGGGTACCCCCCATCTCACACGCCTTTTGATTTTTGAGGCGCCTCAAAAAGGCGCTTGGGTACCCCCCATCTCACAAGCCTTTTGATTTTTGAGGCGCCTCAAAAAGGCGCTTGGGTAACCCCCATCTCACACGCCTTTTGATTTTTGAGGCGCCTCAAAAAGGCGCTTGGGTACCCCCCATCTCACAAGCCTTTTGATTTTTGAGGCGCCTCAAAAAGGCGCTTGGGTAACCCCCATCTCACACGCCTTTTGATTTTTGAGGCGCCTCAAAAAGGCGCTTGGGTACCCCCCATCTCACACGCCTTTTGATTTTTGAGGCGCCTCAAAAAGGCGCTTGGGTACCCCCCATCTCACACGCCTTTTGATTTTTGAGGCGCCTCAAAAAGGCGCTTGGGTACCCCCCATCTCACACGCCTTTTGATTTTTGAGGCGCCTCAAAAAGGCGCTTGGGTACCCGCCATCTCACATGCCTTTTGATTTTTGAGGCGCCTCAAAAAGGCGCTTGGGTACCCCCCATCTCACACGCCTTTTGGGCCACCTCAAAAGCCACCTCTCACAGCTTTTCCTCTCAGAGCACTCATTGAACTTCTCACCTTTGAGGTGCCTAGAAAGAAAGTACCTCGGGCAGAAAAAGAAAGTGCCACGGGCATAAATGGAAAAGGGTCTCGGGCTTTAAAAAAAAAAAAAAAAAAACGTACCTCGGGCTTACAAAAAAAAGAACGTACCTCGGGCATGACGCTCGGGTACTCCACCTCCCACGCCAGCTTCCTCTCGAAGCACTCCTGAAGCTTCTCATTCGTCCCTGGCGGGTACGTCGAATACGGCACCTCGTATTCCCCTTCTTCCACACGCCTCCTCCAATTCCCCTGCCCTGCCGAACTCCCCTGACCTGCCGAACTCCCCTGACCTGCCGTCTTCGTCCGTTCCTGCCATGCCCACTCCGACTTTTCCCAATGGCCCTGTCGTGCCAGATTCGCTCGTCCTTGCCATCCCCTGCTCGCCCCTTCCCCTGCAGACCTTCCCTGGTTCCCCTGTCCTGCCGGACTCCCCCGATCTTGCCATCCCACGTTCCCCCGATCCCCCTCTCTTCCCCCCCTCGCGCGATCTTGCCTTCCCCAGTTCCCCTGACCCCCCCGCCCTGCTGAGTTAGCCCGCTCGTTCCAGGCAATGTTCCCCCTCTCCCCCGGCTCCCCTGTCCCTGCGCCCCCGCCTCTGTTTCCCCATTCTCCTGCCCCTAACCCCCCACCCCTGTCCGCGGGTACTACTCTCCCCGGTTTTCCTGACGTGGCGCTGTTTGTCTCTCCGGATCGGCCTGGACCGGTGCCTCGATCAAGTGCGCCTCGGCCTGGACCGGAGCCTCTCCCGCCTGTTGCTCGGCCGTGTGTCCCGCTCCCAACCCCTCCTATGACGCCTGCTCGTCTATCTTGATTCGGATCGCGATATGGGCGGTTCGCGGCTGTGTCACTGTCGCGATTACCGTCTCTCGCACCTTCTCTGTCCTCTCTTTTTGCCGTCGCGTTAGGATTAAGATCACTGGTGGAGTGGATTAAGCAGGCGTGAGTCTGTACTAGGAAGCGCGCTACGGCTTGCTCGCTGCACGGCGGTAGCGCTGCCCGCGTTTGGCGGCGGAGAACGCGGAACATAGCGGCAGACACGGAGCGAGATGAGCTACGATCCTCTACGGATATGTGAACGACATTCTTCGTTATCGGTTGGAGATATGTGAGATGAACGGGAAGCGATATAGCCTGGAAATCCCCTTTAGAAGCCACCTCGAAAGTAGCTGCCTTGGGGAATGCTATGCGTGGTAAAGACGAGTAGTGAAGAGAGGTTGCCGAGATTCGCGAACTGTACATGTCATTCAGCGAACTTCTCGCGAAGCGACACTCTTTCTCGAATCGTTGTTACCAGCTTTACAAACTGGTTGGTGGCTGATCAGGCCAGCCTCTTGCTTGTTTCTCGTACGGCTTCTGATTGGCTGGATGACGCAAGGTTGAGAGCTGGTTGGTAACGAACATTCACGAGCTCTTCAGGCGCGTCGCTAACTTCTTTTCTCTCGCGACACACCTTGAAGTTGTCCTCCTTGGCAGTGGCATCTCTCCCCATTGGACTTCTGTTACCCTGGGATTGTTCGCTCAATGTCTTCCCAGGGATTGCCACATGGGGCCAAACAAACCATAGTGATGCAACCAACCAACCAACCAACCAATCAGAGAGTTCCACTGATTTTGTTCAGGCAAATCCTAGGTATCATCCAAGAACAGATATCATCCTAGGTTCTAGCCTGGCAGCCTAATCGTCTGGGGAAGGCTCAGGAAACTAGACCACTAGTTCTCGCACCTATTTCGCAGCTTACGGCATCGACGCTCTTTCCCCAGTTATTTCTTGCGCTTTTGTTGCCGTTATTCTCTTGACATTGCGCATTCCCCCTGCGCGATCCTGTTCAGTCGGGGAACATGAGAGCATCGAATCCGTTATGGTCGCTGCTTTTAGCAGCGGCCATTCTTCTCAACAACGCGTACGCCCAACCAGAAGATGCGACCAACGTACTCGCCAGTGTGACGTCAGCAGAGGCGTCTGCCAGCGCACCCGCTCCCGCTCCCAGTTCCGAAGCTTCCCCGTCCCTCCCAGCCGCCGGCGATCTCACCGCGGATTTCGGAGCCTTGCCGGCAGACGCCATGCGTCAGTCGTTCATTGGCGGGCCGGCAGATCTGACGGCCGTCAGCCGGAAGAATTGCTCACTGTCCGTTCAGACGGAAGTGGGGAGCAACTGGGAGTTCGAGAACTGCGTGTACCTTCAATCGGGCGGCGGATTTACCTTCCATGTAATCACAATTCCGTTCATTTCGTGCAGTCAACTCGTCTTAGCGAAACAGAGCCATGGCCGTTTAAAAAGAACCGTTTCTTGCCTCCCGTTGTCAGGAAACGGTTCATCTTTATGCGTGTTCCTCGCTTTCCGCTACTGCCGCCTCCCACTTTTGAGGCGTAAAAACTAAATAAAAATCAGTCGCCCCTTGCCTTCGTCGATAGACTCATGATTTCAGCCGATCTCCTCTACGCTGCCCTCTCTATAATACCATCGCCTCTCTATAAACCCTCCTCTCGTCTACGCTGCCCTCTCCTTTTCGCAAACCCCCCCCCCCCCCCACCCACCAGTGGACCTACGATCGCCCCACACGCATCCTGGATGGAGCGTTTCTGGCTGACTGGAGGGGTGGGTGGGGTGGGGCATAGGCGTGCGCATGGTGGGGGCCAGCGCCATCGTGGCGTTCCGCTCAGGCAACTCGGGGTACTATGTGTCAATTCAACCCTTTCCACACAACCCCCCTCTCTCCCCCTCCCTTCTTCCGTTCCCCCCCTTTTCGCCCTCCCCACCAGTGGACGTATGATCGCCCCACTCGCATCCTGGACGGAGCATTCTCAGCGGACTGGGAGGGGTGGGTGGGGTGGCGCATAGGCGTGCGCATGGTGGGGGGCAGCGCCATTGTGGCCTTTCTCTCAGGGGAATCCGGTTACTACGTGTCAAACCTCTCACATCCAAACAACTCACCCCTCCCTCCCTTCCCCCTCCACCTCCCCTCCCCCTCCCTTCTTCCCCCTTTTTTGTCGTCGTCCTACCCCCACCAGTGGACCTATGACCGCCCCACTCGCATTCTGGACGGCGTGTTTTCGGCTGACTGGGAGGGGTGGGTGGGGTGGGGGATTGGCGTGCGCATGGTTGGTGGGGGCCAGTGCCATCGTGGCCTTCCGCTCGGGGGAGTCGGTCGGTCGGGGTTCTAGTGTCGGCCCTGTATCCCCTTCCCACGCAAAACCCCCAACCTCCCCTCTCCCTCCCCTTTCGTCCTGTGTACCAGTGGACCTATGACCGCCCCACTCGCATCCTGGACGGAGCATTCTCAGCGGACTGGGAGGGGTGGGTGGGGTGGGGGATTGGCGTGCGCATGGTGGGGGCCAGCGCCATCGTGGCCTTCCGCTCGGGGGAGTCGGGGTACTATGTGTCGCGGTACTTGCTGGCCGACTACAACGCGACTTTAATAAAGCCGGACACTGGGGAGTTAAGCGTGGTTGCCAACAGCATCAAGGTAAGCACTTGAGGACTGGGGGGTATCAGAGTCGGGGGAGTCGGGGTACTATGTGTCGCGGTACTTGCTGGCTGACTACAACGCGACTTTAATAAAGCCAGACACCGGCGAGCTGGATGTAGTTGCAAACAGCATCAGGGTGATTGACGTGGGTGTGCATGTGTGAGTGTGCGTGCGTGTGTGGGTGTGGGAGGTTAACGCCACTCGGGGTACTACATGTAGCAGTACTGTGAGCCGCTGGTAAGGCGTGAATCAAACTTTGTGGTCTGAAACCGTTCTTGGAAGGCGCGGATCAAACTTTGAGTGAACAAGTCAGAAGGTTTTCTTTTTCGTCTTCATCTTCTTTGTCTTCTTCTCCTTCTCTTATTTTCATGGGAAAAGGTGGTTTCAGCCGCCCCATAACCTTGCCTCCCCAACTTCTCCCCCTGCATTCCCCTCCTCTCAGTGAACCGGTCAGGTGCACATTCAATGCCCGACGGTGCGAGTGATGTTCGCGGTGGCACTACCAGAGGAGCAGACCCCGCGGCATGGGATACTCAGACATCCCCCCCCCCCCCCCACACACACACTCCCTTTCCCTCCTCCTCCCCCCTCTGCCTTCTTGTCAGGTGCACATTCAAGGCCCGACGTGGCTCTACCAGAGAAGCATGCTGCATACCCCGGGGCACGAACGGAGTACTCAGACCTCCTTCTCTGCCCCCCGCTTTCCCTCTGCCTTGGTGACAGGTGCACATTCAAGGCCCGACGTGGCTCTACCAGAGAAGCATACCCCGGGGCACGAACGGAGTGCTCAGACCTCCTTCTCTGCCCTCCTCTTCCCTCTGCCTTCTTGTCAGGTGCACATTCAAGGCCCGACGGTGCGAGTGATGTTTGCGGTGGCACTACCAGAGGAGCAGACGCCAGGGCTGTATATCATCATGGCCAAGGGCGAGGGTGGGGACCCTGCCACAGGAGCCTTAGAGCCGCACAGCCCCTTCAACACCGCGCGAACGTACCTGCGACTGGCAGGTGCGACCCTCACCGTTAGGGTTCAGGGCGTAGGGTTTTCGGGTTTCGGGTCTTTGGGTGTTCCTGCGACTGCCACAGGGGCCATCCAGCCTCCCTCCCGCACAGCCCCTTCAACACCGCCCGTACGTACCTGTGACTGGCAGGTGAGGAGTCAGGGTTTAGGGTCTCTGAGGGCGCCTGCGACTGGCAGGTGAGGAGTTAGGGTTTAGGGTCTCTGAGGGCGCCTGCGACTGGCAGGTGAGAAGTTAGGGTTTAGGGTCTCTGAGGGCGCCTGCGACTGGCAGGTGAGGAGTTAGGGTTTAGGGTCTCTGAGGGCGCCTGCGACTGGCAGGTGAGGAGTTAGGGTTTAGGGTCTCTGAGGGCGCCTGCGACTGGCAGGTGAGGAGTTCGGGTTTCGGGTTCAGGGTCCCGGAGGGTTCCTGCAAATGGCAGGTAAGAGTGATAGAGACATACCCTTGTGCTCTCTTTCCCCTGCCACTGAACAGCCCATTCAACACACCAGACCCTACCCCCATACCATACCATACTTCGATTCACCACCTAAATCCCAGTGCTTTTTTAGGTGCGTCACAATCGACCCTTGAACACTGCCTCCGCCAGAACGTGACCCCGCACCATTCAAATCGCCGCACCATACTTCCACAGCACCTCTCAAATTCCCGCATCTCTCCTTCCGATGAACATCCTCCTCTATTTCCTCCTCCCGCCTTAGACTCTTTGGTGAGCTCTTTCCGTCCTCCCTTTCCGTCCTCCCTCTCCGTCCTCCCTCTCCGTCCTCCCCATGCCCACAGGAGCCGGACCCCTCCATTGGCTACAGGCAGCACACGGCCTCGTCAGTCTTCTCGCCTGGGGTCTCCTCCTCCCCATCGGCATGCTGCTTACCCCTCACTCACTCCTCGTACCCCTCACTCACTCCTCGTACCCCTCACTCACTCCTCTTACCCCTCACTCACTCCTCTTGCCCCTCACCCACTCCTCTTGCCCCTCACTCACTCCTCTTACCCCTCACTCACTCCTCTTGCCCCTCACCCACTCCTCTTGCCCCTCACTCACTCCTCTTACCCCTCACTCACTCCTCTTGCCCCTCACCCACTCCTCTTGCCCCTCACTCACTCCTCTTACCCCTCACCCACTCCTCTTGCCCCTCACTCACTCCTCTTGCCCCTCACTCACTCCTCTTACCCCTCACTCACTCTTCTTACCCCTCACCCACTCCTCTTGCCCCTCACTCACTCCTCTTACCCCTCACTCACCCCACAGGAGCCGGACCCCCCCAGTGCTTACAGGCAGCTCATGGCCTGGTCAGCCTCCTTGCCTGGGGGGCCTCCTCCTCCCCATCAACGTGCTGCGTACCCCTCACCCACGCCTCTACCCCTCACCCACTCCTCTACTCCTCACCCACTCCTCTACCCCTCACCCACGCCGCTACCCCTCACCCACTCCTCTACTCCTCACCCACTCCTCGTACCCCCTCACTCAATCCACAGGAGCCGGACCCCCCAAGTGGCTGCAGGCAGCGCACGGCCTCGTCAACCTGCTCGCCTGGGGCCTCCTCCTCCCCATCGGCATGCTGCTCGCCCGCCACCCACTCCCCTCTCTGCCTGCCCTTGATCTCTTTTCACTGCCTCGTCCTTTCAGGTGCCGGACCCCCCCAGTGGCTGCAGGCAGCGCACGGCCTCGTCAACCTGCTCGCCTGGGGCCTCCTCCTCCCCATCGGCATGCTGCTCGCCCGCCACCTCCCCCAACTCGACCCCTCCACCGCCTCCTCCTCCTCCTCGTCCTCCTCCGCGCCGCCCTCCTCCTCCTTCCCCTTCCCCTCCACGTCAGCAGTGGTCGCCACAGGCCCTGGGGCGCCGTCCTGGGTGAAGCTGCACAGAGCGGTGCAGGCGGGGGGGTATGCGCTGGGCGCGTTTGGGTTCTTTCTGGGGCTGCTGATGTGGGGGGATGCGCACGAGGGGCATGTGCGGCTGAGGGGCGTGGGGGGCGAGGAGGCCGGGGAGTTTGACCCGGGGGTACACAGGCGCTACGGCATCACTCTCTTCGTGCTCGCTTCCTTCCAGGTGGGGTGGATGAGAGTGCATACGAATTAAATATCTACATATATATATATATATATAAATACATATATGCATGGATATTTAAGGGGAAACTCTGGCTGTTAATGGTGTGCTGGAGTTAGCAATAGAGACTTCTGTGCGTTTGAAGAAACTTGGGCTGGCTAGGCCCCACTTTCATCTGCACTCACCCGTGCTGATGTGCAATCCTGGCTCTGTATTCTGGCGACCGCCCTCATAGTCATCCCCCACAAGGACCCTTTGCTTCGCCCGTGGTAGAACCTCCTGCTCCACTGGAGTGGGTGTGTTGTTATGGTGGTGCCTTTGTCACGTATATTCACACATTTAAAATCCTATTATCAAGTGCAATCCCTTTCCCAGGTGACCGCCCTCATGGTTATTCCCCACAAGGACGCCCTGCTTCGCCCCTGGTGGAACCTGCTGCACCTTTGGAACGGGCGCGTGGTGGTGCTGCTGCTGCTGAGAGTTCCATTTCAAGTGTTAAAGACCACGTGCTTGTGTGCAATCCCTGCTTCAGGTGACGGCCCTCATGGTTATTCCGCACAAGGACGCCCTGCTTCGGCCCTGGTGGAACCTCCTGCACCACTGGAACGGGCGCGTGGTGGTGCTGCTGGGAGTGATCAACGTGTGGCACGGCATATCGCTGCTGCACCCCCACTCCATGGTATGTGTGGCACGGCATGTCACCCTTGCAAGTGTGGCCCTTCCTTTACAACATCCCCTTCCTCCTTATCATCGCTTTTCCTTTACTCCCCCCAGACCCACACCCCCCCCCCCCCCCCTCCCCCCACTCCCTTTTCCCTCATCCTCATGTCGCTCCTCGAGGCTGTCATGCTCTGGAAGTAACCTTTTGCCCTGTTACCCCTGTTACCCCTGTTACCTCTGTTACCATCCCCTTGCTCCCCTCTGCCAGGTGTGGTCCTTCCTCTACGGCATTCCCTTTGGTCTGCTCCTCATCCTCGCGTCGCTCCTCGAGGCTTTCACGCTCTGGAAGTGGCTCATGGACGACGCTCCCACCACTTCCTTCCAGGTAACTTCCCTTTAAAATATCACTCCCTATACTGCCTCGCACGTAACTCACTCCATAACGGGGACATTCCTGTTTCTCCATTTCTACCTTACACTGGCATTACATTTTGGGTATCTCTGATACATCATCATCATCATCATCTATCTGGGTATCGCTGATACACACACTAAGCATTCCCTAAGCAATCATCATCTATCTGGATGTACCCTAAGCAATCCCACACTTGCAGGTCATCGTGCCCATGGGCAACACTGGGTGCATTCCATGGTTCTACCACACATGCTTGCACGATTGTGTAGACCTTTCCGTGCATCTTCACTTTTATCCTCGTTATGAGCAGCGCTGGGTACAGTCCATGGTTCCGCCGCACATGCATCGCCGCTACATGGCACTGCACCAGGGGGCCGAATCGGCATCTCCTGTGGAGCTCAGCGACGGAGAGATTGAATTCATGGCGTCCAAGTTCCGACAAGAGCTGGAATACAAGTACATGTAGACGGAGCATGCAGCTTGTAGACTATCAAACAGGACGTAGGGAGTGCATTTTACTGAGTGGCCATTTCCACACATCGGATCATCCGGCAAGAGCTATAGAAAGTTCATTAAGTCGCCAGCTATGTAGGATTGGGAGATCGAAATTGATGCGGTAGGAATAAGTAGAGGCGTGGAGTGGACATCTCCTTATTCTATCAACCGTATGCCTTGTGACTTAGTCATTTTCGCTTCTTTGCAAGTGGACATCTATACACTCTATCAACCGTTCATTCTAACGCGGATACGGTATCCGTCCAGCGGATCTCTGAAATTCCACGCCTAAAATCTCCTCACTGAATTCCGCATCATATCTCTTGTCAGACTGTTCTCGCCGACTTTCGCGCTCTCCCGCAAACGATTTCTCCTTTTTCCCGGCGCCGTTTCCCCGCCCCCCATGCTGCAGCGCGCCTTCGCCGCTGCCGGCATCGCCTCGCCTCTCCGCTTCCCCCTCCCTCCCGCTCCCCACCACCATCTCCGCTCCGCGCGCCAATTTTATTTCCGCCAGCATCCCCCCAGTTCCGCACACGCCCTTCTCCCCCCTGCCCCGGGTTTTGCGCTCCCCACTGCGCCGCCCTTAGCGTCTTCCGCGGCTGGCCGGTGCCGCCCCGCGCATTCGATCTCCGCCTCCGCGGCTTCTGCGGGTGAATTCATGGCGGAATCTGCGGCGGGAGCGGCGGCGGCGGGTGCGGGGGGTGCGGGGGTCGCTATGGAGGTGGAGGTGAAGCTGCGGCTTCCGAACAAGGAGGCCCACGCGCGCGTGGCGGAGCTCCTGGCAGCCAGTCACCGCGTGACACATCAGCAGGAGAACGTGTTCTTTGACGGCGCAAACGGCGAGCTGTGAGTGGACATGGTGCCACGTCACCGTTACAATCACTGCATTGTTACAACAACTCATCGCCGCCCCCCCCTCCCCCCCCCCCCCCCCTTACCCCCCTCTTTCCTTCCTCTCCGCTCCTGCTCCTCGCGCACAGGAGCCGCAACCGCATCGTGCTGCGGCTTCGCTTTTACAACAACGACGCCAAGTGCGTTGTGACTGTAAAGGGGAAGACTGTCATGGCGGACGGCATTGGGCGCTCCACTGAGGTGAGCAGGTTCGATGTGTTTTGCTCGTTTAAAGCCAGGGTCTCATAATTCCAACTATGGAACACTGGGTTGGGGAAGACACTCGGTGATTGGAGGGCGAGGTGCTGAAGGGGAAACGAAAACGAAAACGAAACGCTGGTAGCGATTGGGGATTGGGGAAGAATTGACGAAAACGAAACGCAGGTAGCGAGGCCCTTTTGTTTCGACAAACTTCCCAAACCGAAATCCTGGTTCGGGCAAAGTTGGCTCGGCTTTGGTTTGCCACACCGAGCCAGTCACACTTCGGATATCCAACGGCCGACAATCCAATTTTTTTGCTCTCACTTTCTACTTCGCTACCAACGGTCGATTCGACTGCCTACGGAGTTGACCGTCAGATCTGAAATTGGGACAGATCTAACGGCCCACAGTACCAGTTGCGCGCTACTTCCGAGGTTCTGAGCAGTCTCATATTTCACGGAACCGTGGTGCCCCTGATTTTACATTTTACACTCGCTTTCACCCCTGGTTGCTTCCACCCTCTCACGGGCTTTCCCTAACCTCTCCTCCTAGTTTCGGCTGTGTAACCTGGTACCAAGCGTTTAACGCTTGGAAAGTTTCCGGAATTATGAGACGCTGGCTTTAAAGCCCAACCAGCAGATGAGGTATGCAGGTTCAAAGTGTCTTCCTGAAATGAGGGTGCGTTCCTGCCTGCCTCGTGTCAAAATTCGTGTCAAGCAGCTTGAAACGGGGCAGTCAGGTGTTCTTAGGAGACGCTGACGCGAAGCAGGGCTGACATGAAGTTGGACAAGCAAGGGCCGCAACTTAAGAGTAGTTTTGAGGCACCTCTAGTGTATACTTTTTGGATAGTCTAGAGAAGTGTCGCCTCTGTGATTCCAACTGACTGATAGTCTGTAATGTTTGCACTCCTTTGCACTCTTTCTCACTCCTCACTCCTTCTCACTCCTTCTCACTCCTTCTCACTCCTTCCTCTATTTCTTCTCCCCCTTTCCTCATCCTTTTCTCTATCTGCCCTTTTCGTCCTCTCCTCTACTCTCCTCTCCCCCCCCACTCTGTCCCACCCCCCCCTTGGCCCCCCTCGGACCCACACAGTAGGAAGAGGACATCGTCCCCACCTTTGGTCGGGCATGCTTTTGAGTCAACTCAAAATCCCGGGCATGCGTTTGAGTCAACTCAAAAGCCCGGGCATGCGTTTGAGTCAACTCAAAAGCCCGGGCATGCTTTTGAGTCAACTCAAAAGCTTTCCCCCCTCGCCTCCACACATTCGCAGGAAGAGGAGGACATCGACCCCACCTTCGGCCGGGCATGTGTGAAGGACCCCTCATTGCTGCAATCCGCATCCACACCTCTTCTCTCCTCCCTGGTGCGACTTCTGAGGTGCCTCACAACAATCTGCCTCGCCTTTGGCCGACCATGTGAGAAGGATTGCTTGATGGGCATCGTCACTCATGGTCTTGGGAAGAGCAGCAGTTCAAAGCCAGTCGCTTCGTGAAGGACTCCCCTTGATGGACAAAAGTCTGACCATGTGTGAAGGATTTCTTGATCTTGATGGTCAAATCTGGATTTGAGGCGCCTCAAAAATAGATTTCTTGATCTTGATGGTCAAATCTGGATTTGAGGCGCCTCAAAAATAGATTTCTTGATCTTGATGGTCAGATCTGGATTTGAGGCGCCTCAAAAATAGATTTCTTGATCTTGATGGTCAAATCTGGATTTGAGGCGCCTCAAAAATAGATTTCTTGATCTTGATGGTCAGATCTGGATTTGAGGCGCCTCAAAAATAGATTTCTTGATCTTGATGGTAAAATCTGGATTTGAGGCGCCTCAAAAATAGATTTCTTGATCTTGATGGTCAGATCTGGATTTGAGGCGCCTCAAAAATAGATTTCTTGATCTTGATGGTCAAATCTGGATTTGAGGCGCCTCAAAGATAGATTTCTTGATCTTGATGGTCAGATCTTGATTTGAGGCGCCTCAAAAATAGATTTCTTGATCTTGATGGTCAAATCTGGATTTGAGGCGCCTCAAAAATAGATTTCTTGATCTTGATGGTCAGATCTGGATTTGAGGCGCCTCAAAGATAGATTTCTTGATCTTGATGGTCAAATCTGGATTTGAGGCGCCTCAAAAATAGATTTCTTGATCTTGATGGTCAAATCTGGATTTGAGGCGCCTCAAAAATAGATTTCTTGATCTTGATGGTCAAATCTGGATTTGAGGCACCTCAAAAATATATTTCTTGATCTTGATGGTCAAATCTGGATTTGAGGCGCCTCAAAAATATATTTCTTTTTCTTGATGGTCAGATCTGGATTTCCCTCGGGCATATTCGCCAGAGAGCAGCCGTGCTTGCAGGAAGGTTCAAACGAGTAGGATAAACAGTATTTTCTAGGCTTGTGGTAGTAGCCGGTGTGCGCGATCCCTTGCTGGTCAATTCTGGTGTTCCCGCCCGCGCTTGCCTCCTTGCTTGTCTGCCAAGACGAAATATCGCAGCTCTGCTTATGCTCGGTGGTTTATCATTTGTCAACCATTGGTCTATCACTGGTCTACCTACCACCCCTTTCCCATTCGCTGACTGCTTCCCCCCTCCCTTCCCGTGGCTCCCCATCTAATCCATTCCCCCTCACACCCTTTCCAACTGCTCCTCCATCCCCTCGCCCCCCTTTTCCCCCAGCCCAACCGCTTCTCCTGCCCGGAGTTTGTGTGCCTGGGGGGGTTCCGCAACACTCGGGGCGTGTTTGAGTGGCGGGGCAACACCATAGAGCTGGACGAGACTCAGGTAGGGGGTTGAGAGGGGTGATGAGCAAGTTCGGGGGGATCAATTACGGTGCTGATGGAATCACGGCGTGTTTGAGTGGTGGGACGACCGACTGATAGAGGTGGATGAAACTCACGTAGGGGGGTGAGAGGGGGAGGTGGGACGTGAGATGGGGAGGTGGGTCGTGAGAGGGGGAGGTGGGATGTGAGAGGGGGAGGTGGGACGTGAGAGGGGGAGGTGGGTCGTGAGAGGGGGAGGTGGGACGTGAGAGGGGGAGGTGGGGCGTGAGAAGGGGAGGTGGGACGTGAGAGGAGGTTGATGTGCCAGTTGGGGGCTCAAGTGCATGTGAGAAGGAGGTGGCACACTTTTTGGGGTGGTCAAGTGCGGTGCAGATGGAACCACAGGGTGTTGAGTGGCAGGGCGGCACAACAGACCTGGACGAGAAGCTGGAAGCTGGAAGCAGAAATACCTGAAAGAGAAGTTTTGGAAGTTGGAAGCTAATACCTGAAGTGTATTTCTTTCTCTTGTGCTAAAAGGGAGGGGGACGGCTTTCTGCATGCCTTTTTAAAATCAATCCTGACATTCCTTTTCTGTGAACAACTTTTTTAGATCTGTTTCATGCATGCATGCATGTGTGCTATACTTGCGTGGTGACTGTGTGCTATACTTGCGTGGTGACTGTGTGCTATGTGTGCTCTGTGTGCTCTGTGTACGCTTGTCTTCCTTGGCAGTTTGCTTTCGGCACGCAGTACGAGATCGAGTGTGAGACCAGCCAACCAGAGAAACTCAAAGCTGAGCTGTAAGTCGGTTATTCAAGGGTTTGGAACGGGGATGCAGAAAATAATCTCCTTCTGGGAGGTTGTATGGCAGCGTCTGAGGTGTGAAAAAGCAGATTGTTAGTTGTTTTTCTTTTTGGCTTGACTGCGAAGGCAGATAATCAAGGGGAATCGCCGCGGTTACGTTTTTTTTTTTCTTTTTCTTTTTTTTTTCTCCAAAACCCAACACAGGGGAATCGGCACAGTTAGTTTTTTTTATTATTATTATTAATCCTGGGGAGAGTCCTTTAAAGCCTATCTATTGACTTGCTATGCCACTTAGTAATGAGCCATGTCTAAGCTGCTGCTTTATCCATCTCCCCCCTCCTCCCCCTTCCCCACGCCCTCTCCCCCCCATCCCCTCCTGGTTTCGTGCTGTCTCACGTGGCCACAGGTTTTAACAGCCTCAATACACCCAACCATGTTTGTTGTGCTGCAGCTATATCCCCACCCTCCCCCCCTTCGCCCTCCAACTCTGCCCCCACCCTCTCCTTCCGCCCTTTTTAAGGCACCTCGCACACCCCTCCTCTTCCCCCCCCCCCCCCCCCCCCCCCCCCCCCCCCCCCCCCCCCCGTCCCCCCGCCCCACCCTGCCCCCTTCCTCCTCCCCTCCCCGTTCTTTGCTCTCCTGTGCTTACAGTGGGGTTTTTCTCCAAGAGCACAGTGTGCCCTTTTCTAATAGCAGCAGCACCAAATTCGGCATCTTTCGGGCAGGGAAACTGCCCGAATACTAATTTCGCTTCTATGAAGGCCTAGTGGGTAGATTGTAGCCTTTTCACACAGTTTGTGTGTCATTCTACCATACGTTATGAAATGAGAAGTTAACATCCTGGCAGGTCGGATGGACCTGTTGCCTAGGTCCTTTTTCCTTTTTAAGACTACTTGCTTACTATCACCAGCACACACTATTGACAGCTGCAACTACGACGACCTACGACAATTGCACTGCACATTCTACATTCGTTACACTTCAACCTGTTACAAGCATAGAAACAAGGTCTTCCACATGCATCTGACTGGATTGCATAGATTGAAGGTAAAACCTAAAAGACTAACTGTGCAAGCATCATGATTCATGTGCCATATTCCACTCCTTCCTGGCTAAACCTCCAAAAACGAGATGATGAAGCTGTTGAATTCCCGGCACGTGGGCGGCAGGAGCAAAGAATTATCGCGCAAGCAGGTCTGCAGCTCCGTTGCCGTGACAGGCATCGCGTACACGTCCTCCGCATGACCCTTGGCAGCCCACGTGTCTGCCTCCCTGTGACACAGTGGGAGGAAGAGTACTGAATGACATGACAAATGAGACAGGTTCAAGCAACAAGTCCATAACACATCGCATACACGTCCTTTGCATGGTCCTTAGCGGTTTTGCCTCCCTGTGGAGTATGTTAGAGGATGGGAAGAGGTGAGAGTAATGTGAACAGTTGTGCATGCACAGAGATTACGAGTAATTGCGACGAGTAATGGCAAGTAATCTGGCAGACAAGCTATTGTTATGACTGAATGATCCACTATCTCCCAACAGATGCGGTGCCAGCATTCTCTGATAGACATGCGTCTTAAACTCCGCCATCACGAGCACATGCATGATGCGCTGGTGACACTTCCCTCCCACGTTAATCTCACACTCCTAGAGAAATGAATGCGGGAAATTGAAGCAGCAGTGTTCTTCGAGGATAACACACGCAACCTCTATGCATCGCACCGCATCAAACTCCAGAGCTGGGAAGCTTTAGTAACCTATTTAAAGTGGGGTGATGCATTAAGTTAGTGTGTGTTATCCTCGGGAAACACAGCTGCTTCAATTTCCCCTATTAATTTCTCTCAAAGACAATGATCGACGTTGGAGGGAAGGTGCCACTATCGCACGCCATCAATAGTTTAAGACGCATGTCTATTTGAAAATACTGGCACCGCATCTGCTGAGGGAGTAGCGGATCAGTCAGGCATAGCAATAGCCTGTCTGTCAGATAGCTTATCACTACCTGTCGTAATTATCCTAATCTCCTTGTAGAATATGTTACAGAGGAGGGGAAGAGGAGAGGGTAAAGTGAACAGTCGTGCAAGCACAGAGATCACGTGTAACTACAAATAATAGTGGTAAGCAATCTGACAGGCACGCTATTATTATGCCTGGCTGATCCAACACTCCCCTAGCGGATGCGGTGCCAGCATCCTCTGATAGACATGCGTCTTAGCCTCAGCCCTCACGAGCACATGCATGATGGTATTCGCTGGTAGCACCTTCCCTCATACGTCGAACGCTGGCTCTAAGAAAAATAAATACCGGAAATTGAACCAGCTGTGTTCCTTGAAGATAACACACGAAAACTCCATGCATCACCCCGCATCAAATTTTAGATTAGGTAAGCGTTAAGAACCTATTTGATGCGGGGTGATGCATGGAGTTTGCATGTGTTATCCCCAAGAAACGCAACAGCTTAAATTTCCCGTATTCATTTCTCTCAGGGCCAAAGATCGACGTGTGAGGGAAGGTGCCACCAGCGCATGCATGTGCTCGCATGCATGCCTATCATAGGATGCTTGCACCGCATCCGCTTGGGGAGTAGTGGACCAGTCAGGCATAACAATAACATGTCAGTCACATTGCTTACCATTAGAGCATGTTTGAAGTGAATCACGCAACATCAATTTTTGACATCACTACACGGTTTTGTTGGTTTCTCAACGTTTCAGAATGGTTCGTAACTGAAAGGCTTCAATCTCCTGACGTCATATCACTTGACATCAGGTTTCGAATCACTTCATACACGCCCTTACCCGTCACAATTACCTGTGATTTCCTTGTGAAGTATGTTAAAGAGGAGGGGAAAGAGGAGAGGGTAATGTGAACAGTAGGGCAACCAGGAACCGTATACACGTCCTCCGCATGACCCTTGGCGACCTACTCCTCTGCTTGGCTGTGTTATAAGAGGTTTATCAAGTGGGGAGGAATGGGGAGAAGGGAAGGTCCAATGCTGTGATAGGCATTGCGTGCACGTCCTCTGCATGCCCCCTTGGCTGCCCACTCATCTGTTTGGCTGTGAGGTAAGAGACGAAGTGGGGGGAAGAAGGGAAGGTCCAATTCAGCTTCACAACTCGCCGCACGCTTGTCCCTGGCGCGTTTGGATCAGAGAACAAAACCTACACGCGGCAACTCACCATCTGAAGTTGAGTTTTGAGACGCCTCAAGCCTGTCATTGAGTCGATAAGAGAGCAAAACCCACACACGCCAACACCATCAGGAGTCACGGTCAGCAGCAACAGCCTTGCACATGAGCCCCACAACTCGCCCCAAGTTCCAACGACTCCCCCTTGATTAGAGAGAAGAGAGGCAGGAGGGTATATAGAGTCATCCACTGTGTTGCACGCAATGGAACTCTTTTGAGTCGACTCAAAAAAAGAAACGTAGAGTCATCCACTGTGTTGCACGAAACGGAACTCTTTTGAGTCGACTCAAAAGCAAACACGTAAAGTCATCCACTGTGTTGCACGCAATGGGACTCACTGTCTGGAGTCACTGTCAGCGGCAACAGCCTTGCACATGAACTTCACAACCAGCCTCAAGCGACCACCGCTACGCCCCTTGACAAGTGAGGAGAGGGGGAGGAGGGGAATAGCCAGTCATCCACTGTCTTGGATGCAACTCACCGTCTGGAGTCATTATTAGCGGCAACAGCCTTCCACATGAGCTTCACAACTCGCCTCAAGCCACCACCGCTACAGCCCCTCCTGGTTTGTGTCAACGAGCCAACTTGATTGTGTGGTATCTGCACTTGAGCCGCAGTGACTGTGCCGATGCTTCTCCTCTTTCCATCGCTGTTGTCCGTCCTCTTTTCATAAGTCTTTCCAGCCTCAGTGGATACAGGCTTGGATTCTCCCTCCTCCCCCTCCTCCCCCTCCTTGCTTCCCCCATACTCCAACACACCTCCGTCCCCCTCTTCCCTCTCCTCCCCCTTCCCCGCCTCCCCACACTCGCCCCACCCCATGGCGGTGTGGGCGCTGAGCAGCACGAGCAGCAGGAGGGGCTGGTGGGAGGCGACGGAGCGGAGGACCAAACGGCTTGGGGCGGATGGGGTGGAGAGATGGACAGAGAGCAGGGAGGAGAAGCAGGTCGCAAGCGTAGGAAATGGCCTGCAGGGATGAAAGGGAGAGGAGAGAGGCAAAGAGAAGTCTGCAAAGTTTTGACTGTGAAAACTCCCAGCGACCCCGCACACACCCCACCCCATGGCGGTGTGGTCGCTGAGCAGCACGAGCAGCAGGAGGGGGTGGTGGGAGGCGAGTAAGGGGAGGACAAGGCGGCTTCGGGCGGAGGGGGTGGAGAGGTGGACGGAGAGCAGGGAGGAGAAGCAGGTCGAGAGAGTGGCGGAGGGCCTGCAGGGAGGAAGGAAGGCAAAGAAAGGACGGGACAGAGGGGCACGGAGGGTTAGGACGGGTGCAAGGTGAAGGTGCAAGGTGGAGGACTGGACAGCTTGGAAGCAACGGGGAGGAGAGGTGAGAGGAGTAAGGAGAGAGGAGAAAGGAGAGAGGAGAAAGGAGAGAGGAGAAAGGAGAGAGGAGAAAGGAGAGAGGAGAAAGGAGAGAGGAGACAGCCTGAGGGGAGAGAAAGACAATGGTGAGGTGGCAGTGGTAGCAAGGTTGAACGGCTTAAAGTTAGGAGAAGTTGAGTCGAGGGTGGCTAAGAAAAGGCACGGAGGAGCACGGAGCAGTTGACCGCGCTTTTGGGAAGGAGCGTGAGGGGTGAGAGGAGAGGGGGGGGAGCGGGGAGCAGAAGCAAGTCATGAAGCAGCAAGGCCTTTTACGGACCAAGGCAGCAGCAGCAGGTCATGAGGTAGGGGAAGGACCTTTTATGAACAACGGGTAGCAAGGCATGGTGTCAACTTTAAGCAGCTGCAAGGGAATCGAATCGAAATCACCATTTTAAGTCGACGCATGTGACCTTGCCAAGCAATTCGTCTGTCAATTCTGCTGGCGCACCGTCTGCCTCTGGCGCGGCTTCTGCGGCTTCTCCTTCCCTTATCCCCTCTGCCTCTGCCGCTGAAGCCGCACTGACTGCTGCCACAACCCTCCCGTCACCGTCGTCGACTGATGACGTCAGGGCGTCTGCTGGTGGCGTCATCATGCGTCCAGATGATCCGCACGTTACATCCATGGGACTAACCATGTGAACAGGCCTTGGATCCACCATGTGCAAGAAAAGGTGCTCCACCCTCCCTTCCACTCCCTCTCTCCCTTCTCCCAATGATTCGCTCGCCCCTCCTCCCTCCACCCCTGCACTTCTCCCCACCTTCCCACTTCTCCACGAGTCTGTTCTCGGAGTGCTGCTCCTGGACCTCCCTCTCGCCCCAACCGCCCTGCCACACCCCCCACATGAGACCTCCTCCCACGGACCTCCTTCTGGTACCAGGTTAGACACCAGCAGGTGCTCCTCTGCCTGCTGATGCTCCTCTGCTGGCTGCCGCACCTCAGGTGGTACTCGCCGCGCTTCTGCAAGCTGCTGACACTCCTCCGCCTGCATCCCCCCTGCATTTCTTCCCTGTTGACTGCATTGGCTCGGTTGACCCACTTCATCACTGCCTTGTCGATTGGCCTCACCCATACTCGGTGGGCACAGAGGTAGTTGGGCACTACTGGAGTAACTGCCGTTGCTGCTGCCGTTGGTGCTCTGGTGGCTGTTGGAAAAGGCAGAGTCGTTGTTACTGAGAGAGAGGTTTTGCATATGAGAGGCTATGCCAGCAGCAGCACTCGTATCATGCGACTTGTTAGTCGCCGGGTTTTGGAGAGAAGCCTTTTGACTGAAATCAAGATTTCCAGGCCTCCTGAAGGGAGGAGCAATGGTGGTGTTTGCAGTTGACTCAATTGACTTGGGGAGTGCGGAGAGGAGGGCGAGGGAGGCATTTTGTGTTGACTGCATTGACTTGGGGTGTGAGGAGAGGAGGGCGAAGGAGGTATGAGAGAGGAGGCAGGAGGAGGGGGTGAGTGTGGAGCGCTGGTGCAGGCTGTTGACGACGTGCAGCGCGTGGGCAGCAGTGGCTTCGCAGCATTCTGCACCGCAGAACCACTGCTCTGCCATCTCGTCGGCGTCAGAAGATGGCATGGGAGCGAAAGACCTGACATGGGGGGAAGGGAGGCGGTGAGGGAGCAGCAGGTGGGGGGGTGAGGGAGCAGCAGGAGGGTGGGTGAGGGAGGAGCGGGAAAGGGGGGTGAGGGAGTGGCGGTGGTGCAGGCAGTTGACCACGTGCAACGCGTGCGCCGCAGCGGCTTCGCAGCAGGCAGCGCCGCAGAACCACTGCTCTGCCATCTCGTCCGTGTCAGACGATAGCATGGGGGCGAATGTGGTGGTTAGAGGGGGCAGGAGGGGGGGTAGGGGGAGGGGATGGAGAATGGGTGCAGTGTGGGTTGCAGCGGATTCTCAGCAGGCAGCGCCGCAGAACCACTGCTCGGCCATCTCGTCCGCACTGTTGATGGCATGGCACGAGACGAGTTGTAGATTAGGAGGGAGAGGAGGGAAGAAAGGGGAGGATATAAGAGAGGAGGGAGAGGAGGGATCAGCGGTGGTGCAGGCAGTTGACCACATGCAGCGTGTGGGACGCTGAGGGGCCGCAGAACCACTGCTCGGCCATCTTATGGGCGTCAGGTGATGGCATGCTTTGACTCGTCAGGTGGTGGCATGCTTTGAGCCTTAGATCAATGCGTGAGGAGTCTATTTTTGAGGCGCCTCAAAAATAGACTCGTCAGGTGATGGCATGGGGCAATGGTGATGGCATGGGGGCATGGTGATGGCATGGGGGCATGGTGATGGCATGGGGGCATGGTGATGGCATGGGGGCATGGTGAGGGGCGAATGCACTGGTTGGGAGGGGAAAGAGGGGGGGGTGTGGGAAGCAGTGGCGGTGCAGCAGCAAGCGCCACAGAATCACTGTGCTGCAAATTTGTTGGCGTGAGTTGCATGTGGACGAATGCAGTGGCTGGGGATGAATGGGGAAAGAGAGAAAACGAGGAGGAAGGAGAACGAGGGATACAATTGTGAATTTTGAGTCGACTCAAAAGTCAAAACGAGGAGGAAGGAGAACGAGGGATACAATTGTAGCAGCAGCAGCAGCAGCCAGCGCCGAAGAGGGAGGCACTGCTCGGCCAACTCGTGGCGTTCACATAAAGAGTGTTAGGCGCCTAGAAAAATTTGAGGGTTTTTTAGGCGGCTAAAAAAAAGTAGTGGGAGGCAGGGCTCGGCCAACTCGTGAGTGTGAGATTCCCGTGATAGGGGTAAGGCGGAAATGAGGATCGCGAAGACGATTTTTGAGGCGCCTCAAAAAAGGCGGAAATGAGGAAAGCGAAATGGGGATCGCGAAGACGCAGGAAATGGGAGTGCGTGAAAACAGCATGTAGCACCGAAGTGCTGGAAATTATCTGACTGGAGCCTGGAGGGGGCCCGTACCTAAGTGGGTTGGTGGTCAGCTGGTGGCGGCAGTGGCGCCAGTACAGATCGATGGCCCTTAATAAGTGGCCCTGAACTAAGTGGCCCTTCACTAAGAACTGAAACTCGCTTATCTGGAAGCCCTTACCTAAGTGGGTTGGCGGTCAGTTGGTGGCGGCAATGGCGGCAGTGCAGGTGAACGGGGGCCATGGCAGAGAGGCAGGAGAGGAGAGAGGCTGCAAGGAGGAGAGGGGAAAACAGAGGGGAAAACAGAAGGGAAAACAGAGGGGAAAACAGAGGGGAAAACAGAGGGGAAAACAGAAGGGAAAACAGAGGGGAAAACAGAGGGGAAAACAGAGGGGAAAACAGAGGGGAAAACAGAGGGGAAAACAGAGGGGAAAACAGAAGGGATGGATGCAGATGAATGGGCTTCATGGCAGCAAGGCAGGAGATGCAATACTTTTGAGGCGCCTTAAAAGGCAGCAAGGCAGGAAATGCAATACTTTTGAGGCGCCTCAAAAGGCAGCAAATCAGGAAATGCAATACTTTTGAGGCCCCTCAAAAGGCAGCAAGGCAGGAAATGCAACACGAAATTATGAATACATTGGCGCATGGACCAATGCAAATGAACGAGGCTCACGGTAGAGAAGCAGGCCTAAGCCTCACGGGGTTTAAGCAGAAGGCTTAAGCTCCGGGGTTTAAGCAGAAGGTTTGGGGTTTAGGGTGGATAGAGGAGAGGAGAAACGTGTTGAGACTGCGGGGATGAATGAACGGATCTTGGGTGGATGAGGGAAGATGAACGGGGCTCGTGCCAGAGCAGAGACACAGGTGAGGAGAGAGAGGCTGGAGAGACACAGGTGAGGAGAGAGAGGCTGGAGAGACACAGGTGAGGAGAGAGAGGCTGGAGAGACACAGGTGAGGAGAGAGAGGCTGGAGAGACACAGGTGAGGAGAGAGAGGCTGGAGAGACACAGGTGAGGAGAGAGAGGCTGGAGAGACACAGGTGAGGAGAGAGAGGCTGGAGAGACACAGGTGAGGAGAGAGAGGCTGGAGAGACACAGGTGAGGAGAGAGAGGCTGGAGAGACACAGGTGAGGAGAGAGAGGCTGGAGAGACACAGGTGAGGAGAGAGAGGCTGGAGAGACACAGGTGAGGAGAGAGAGGCTGGAGAGACACAGGTGAGGAGAGAGAGGCTGGAGAGACACAGGTGAGGAGAGAGAGGCTGGAGAGACACAGGTGAGGAGAGAGAGGCTGGAGAGACACAGGTGAGGAGAGAGAGGCTGGAGAGACACAGGTGAGGAGAGAGAGGCTGGAGAGACACAGGTGAGGAGAGAGAGGCTGGAGAGACACAGGTGAGGAGAGAGAGGCTGGAGAGACACAGGTGAGGAGAGAGAGGCTGGAGAGACACAGGTGAGGAGAGAGAGGCTGGAGAGACACAGGTGAGGAGAGAGAGGCTGGAGAGACACAGGTGAGGAGAGAGAGGCTGGAGAGACACAGGTGAGGAGAGAGAGGCTGGAGAGACACAGGTGAGGAGAGAGAGGCTGGAGAGACACAGGTGAGGAGAGAGAGGCTGGAGAGACACAGGTGAGGAGAGAGAGGCTGGAGAGACACAGGTGAGGAGAGAGAGGCTGGAGAGACACAGGTGAGGAGAGAGAGGCTGGAGAGACACAGGTGAGGAGAGAGAGGCTGGAGAGACACAGGTGAGGAGAGAGAGGCTGGAGGGAGGCGAGGAGAAACAAGTGGAAACAAACAAACAAGCAAACAAGAATGGCACACGAGAGGAAGAAGGCTGGAGGGAGGCGAGGAGAACCGAGTGAAAATGGATGGATAGCGACTGGCGAGAGGAGTGGCGGGATGGGTGGCATGGAGGGATGGGTGGCATGGAGGGATGGGTGGCATGGAGGGATGGGTGGGATGGAGGGATGGGTGGCATGGAGGGATGGGTGGGATGGAGGGATGGGTGGCATGGAGGGATGGGTGGCATGGAGGGATGGGTGGCATGGAGGGATGGGTGGCATGGAGGGATGGGTGGCATGGGTGCAAGGGGGAGCGTGGCCGAGAGATGCGAGTGCTGGGAGGCTGGTTGGACGAAAGGGGAGAGAATTCAGGGCGATGGTTGGATGGATGGGGATGGTTGGATGGATGGGGATGGTTGGATGGATGGGGATGGTTGGATGGATGGGGATGGTTGGATGGATGGGGATGGTTGGATGGATGGGGATGTTTGGAGTCTAGAGAGGGAGGAGGCGAACCGAGGCGAGGGGCTGGGGCTGGGGCTGGGGCTGGGGATGGTGATGGGGATGGGGATGGGGATGGTGATGGGGATGGGGATGGGGATGGTGATGGGGATGGGGATGGGGATGGGGATGGTCGGAGACCTTGCACTAGCGGAGCGACGGATGCGGGGAATGTGTAACAGTAATCTAGTTTTGAGACAGGGCAGTGTGAGAAAAGCAGCGCAGCAGAAAGGAAGAGGAGTTGGAGAGTGCAGTACGCGCTACTCACGCACGTGACCAGCGCAGGATTCAGTCATCTCCTCCTCCTTCCTCAACTCCTGCTTCCGGTTCCCTTCCACCGATCCACCGCCATTCATCGCCGCCCCCTCCCGACCTCCCTCCGATCTCCCCAGCGTCTCCCAGAATCCATCTGAATCCGATCCGAGCAGCTGCGCAAGCGGAACGGTAATTTCGAGGTGCCCTGCTCGCACGCTCACAGGCACAGTAACGAACTTCCCTGCCCCCTCGCTGCTGTCACACTCGCTAGAGTCACCATCTGTGATTGTTTCAAAACTCTTGGGAACTCCGCTCGGAGTGGATGGCAGAGCAAAGGGAATCTCGATCGACAGCAGCGGCCTTCCAACCCTTTCGGATTCCTCAACAGAAACAAAACCTGTCGAACCATCCTGCCGAACCTGCTGGCCGAGTGCAGCCGGTTCGGCAAGCCGAGCCTGTTCGTGAGGTGACTCCGGAGCAGGGGGTCCCAAAGAGATGATGATCCGAGAGGCAGAGAGGCGTTTCGAGCCGGCGAGTCGCGAATCTAAGCGGTATTCCGAGCCTAACAGATCTTCTGAGTCAACGGGATCTTTGAAGTCAATTCGATCTTTGGATTCTACAGGTCGTTCCAGGTCCAGCCGTGCCGTCACGCCGGACGATATTAATTTCTGCCACTCCACATCGTCCGCTGGCCCCTCCTGGTGAACACGCGACTCGCGCGGAAATACAAAGAGACGAAGAATCTTGACGTGAGTTAGCGCCTCGAAAGTGTACACCCAAAGCATCGTCGTGTCGCAACAAGCACTACCTCGGAGCTATGATAAGGTGCTCCTGCTTGGCTTGTTGCGGCCTGGATGCCGACTAAAGAAACCTACCAGGCCACCTAGCACCGACACCTAAACCTACTGGTTGGTTGGGATGCGAGGCAACGCTCGGAGCGGTTGGGTTGGGTCAACGGTGGCTAGAAATCGGTGAAGGGTTGAAATTTGGGAAGGAGTCGACCGCCGAGCCTGTAAGGACGTGTCCTAAGGACGTATTACCATAACGAAATCTATCCTCCAAAATATCTCTTCAGGGAGAATATAGTCGGGCTACCCGCTGGTAACCAGCAACAAACAGATGGAAGTAACACGCCACATTGATTTCGGCAATTGATGTGCCATCGTGGTCAAAGCGCGCGCGCGCGAAACAAAGCGGAGACCGGGAGCTCGCGAGTCCGCTCTCTCTCTCTCTTGAAAGTCGCAAGTGGGAAAAATGCAAGGCACCTTGACATTTCGCGAAGCTGTTTTGGGGTTGCCCGGTTTGTTGCGACGCCCGCGCGCCGAGAGCGAGGGTACGTGAGTGACTCGGGAGGTGATCTGTAAAATCACTTCGCAATATCGATTCGGGGAGCAATCGTCATGAGGGATATTGTACATCAATTTAACCTTCCGATCCTCTGATTTTCCTTATGGTAACACGCCCTTACAGTTCATTGAAAGGTAGATTGACGGTACAGTTACCCGATTTTTGGCAAGTAGCCGCAGAAGATACATACCAGCGGGACACATACTAGGGCGCCTCACTAAAGTACGGGCCCTGTTCAACACCTAGTTCAGTTATCACTTTAGGTTTGTAACCATAAACCAGCCCGAACAAGACACGCCCAGCTCACACCCGAAATTAGCGGACACCAGCGCACGGTTCCAGGTACATCCGCACGACAAAAAAAGACCACACAAAAATCCAGTTTGCCAACCAGTACCAGCACCACCTCTAGCGAAATTCTCTAACGACACTTTGCATTCTCGCACGTCGCTAGCGAAGAACCAACCCCCGCTGCGCCGATCGGCCCTCATTTTGTTACATGCGCATCACGCAGGTTTCGCATGGCGGGACCCCGTTACCCGCTCCTATGTCTGTGCTGGTCTCGGTGCTGTCCTTTCGAACTGCACCCTTCATTTCAGACATGCTCCCAAATCAGGATCTATTTCAGAATCGATTCACATTGCGTACCGTCAAATGGCTCCGCGTGTCAAAAACGGGAAAACGATTTTTGGGGGACACAACCTTAGAGAGTACGACATCAAGGGTTGTAGGTCGGACGTGTGTTAGTACAGGCAGAAAACGCCTCAACATGCTAACGGAGGTACGATTCGTGGAACTGCGCGTTTCCCCCAGCTGAATGTGTTTTGCGGCCACGAAATTTGCGAACCCCAAGGATTTTCGCTAAAGCCCCGATGCGCGAGCCACCGCAGAAAATCACTCCCTCAGAGGCCACGACAGAAGGGTTAAAGCCCGAGTTCAGAATGGTTTGCCTTCAAGTTCAGGATTCCTGAACTTGTTTTCGTGGAAAAAAAGGGTAACCTTGTTTAGCGCACGCAAATCTCGTGACCCTGGGGGCCTGTGAACAGAGGTTGTTGACGATTGGGCTGTTCCGCTGAAGGCAAAAAGCTTGGGAGCGCCGCAGCAAAAGACAACACTGGAGAACACTGTTCCCACTCAGGATTCTTGAACACAAACTGGACCAAACTGAACGCATTTCCAAGGAGCCTGCACGCGTATAACTCCCTCATAGGTCTCTGCGCCGCCACATACTCGCGATCTTCCCCGTCTCCAGCTGACGCCTAAACACCACACCCGTCAAGCACGGGGTACACCCGCCACTCTGTAGCATTATCGAGTTGAGCGCGAGCGTGACACGCAGCCCCGCAATAGCCCGTCGTCTGCTCCGCGATGTCGAGGAACCTTGGCCGATCTGCCATCGGCCCACTGCTGCAGAGAGGAGACTTGGCCAGAGGCATGTATGCGACAGGCCCCACTAGCCTAGCCTGCCCCTTCCTTGCCCGCTATCCCAGCAGCACCCGCTATTCCCCGAGCCCCCACCCCCCCCGCCCTCGAGTCCCTCGCCCGCTATTCCCTAGCCCGCACCTCCCTTGCCCGCAATTCCATCGCCCGCTTTTCCCTACCCCGCGCTTCCCTTGCTCGCAATTCCCCCGCACGCTATTCCCTACCCCATGCTTCCCTTGCCGGCATTCCCCCCGCGCGCTATTCCCTACCCCGGGCTTCCTTTGCCCGCATTTTTCCCGCCCGCTATTCCCTGCCCCGCGCATCCCTTGGCGGCAATTTTCTCGCCCCCTAGTCCCACCCCGCGCTTCCCTTGACTGCAATACCATCGCCTGCTATTCCCTACCCCTCGCTTTCCGTGCCCACAATTTTCTCCCCCGCTATTCCCTCCCCCGCGCTTCCCGCAGTTACCCCGCCCGCTATTCCGCTGAAGTGGATGGCGGATAGGCGGTGGGAGAGAGAATACGCAGGGGGGTCGGAGGGGAATAAGATATGTGGAAGGAGGGGAGAGGGGCGGTGAGTGAGAGTGCGGGGGCAAGAGGAGGGAGGGGGAGAATGAGTGGCACAGTGGTGGTGGAGCCCCCGATTTAGGAGGGACAGAAGGGGGAGCAGAAGGATGAAAAAGTGGGGAGGGGAGCGGATGGCCTGTGTGAAGAGAGAGACGGACAATAGAGGGGCGGACGATGGGGAGAGGAAGGACCACGGCCCGAGGGGAAGAGGAGAGGGGCGAGGGAGCAAGTGAGGAGGGGGGGGGGGAGGAGGGGAATGTGCGTGAGGGCAGGGGATAGCAAAAGGGAGATGATGGTGAGGAGGGGGAATGGGGTTAGAGAGCCTCCTCTCCTCTCCTCTCCTCTTGTCTCCTCTCCTCTCCTGTTGTCTCCTCTCCTCTCCTCTTGTCTCCTCTCCTCTCTTCTCGTCTCGTCTCCTCTCGTCTCCTCTCCTCTCCTCTGCTCTCTCCTCCTCTCCACGGCTCTGGGTTTAGGGTCCCCTCCGCTCTCCTCTCATCTCCTCCCGTCTGCACTCCTCTCCTCTATTCTCCTCTGCTCTCCTCGGTTCTCCTCTCCTCTCCTCTCCTCTCCTCTGCTCTCCTCTGTTCTCCTCTCCTCTCTCACCTCTCTTCTCCTCTCCTTTGCTGTTGTCTCCTCTCCTCTCCTCTATTCTCCTCTGCTCTCCTGTGTTCACCCCTCCTCCGTTTTCCACTGCTCTCCTCTTCTCTCCTCTTTTCGTTTCTCCTCTCCTCTCCACTCCTCTCCTCTCCTCTCCTCTTCTCTCCTCTCCTCTCCTCTGATCTCCCCTGTTCTCATCTGCTCTCCTCTGTTCTCCTCTCCTCTCCACTGCTCTCCTCTTCTCCCTTGTCCTCGTATCTCCATTCCACTCCACTCGTCTCCTCTCCTCTCCTCCCCTCTACTTTGCTGTCGTCTCCTCGCCTCTGCTCTCCAATGCTCTCCTCTCCACTCCTCTGTTCTCTGTTCTCCTCTGCTCTCCACTGCTCTCCTCTCCTCTCCTCCGTTCTCTGTTCTCCTCTGCTCTCCACTGCTGTCCTCTCCTCTCCTCTCCTCTCCTCTGTTCTCCTCTGTTCTCCTCTCCTCTCCTCTCCTCTCCTCTCCTCTCCTCTCCTCTGCTCTCTCCTCCTCTCCACGGCTCTGGGTTTAGGGTCCCCTCCGCTCTCCTCTCATCTCCTCCCGTCTGCACTCCTCTCCTCTATTCTCCTCTGCTCTCCTCGGTTCTCCTCTCCTCTCCTCTCCTCTCCTCTCTCACCTCTCTTCTCCTCTCCTTTGCTGTTGTCTCCTCTCCTCTCCTCTATTCTCCTCTGCTCTCCTGTGTTCACCCCTCCTCCGTTCTCCACTGCTCTCCTCTTCTCTCCTCTTTTCGTTTCTCCTCTCCTCTCTTCTCGTCTCCTCTCCTCTCCTCTCCTCTCCTCTCCTCTTCTCTCCTCTCCTCTGCTCTCTCCTCCTCTCCACGGCTCTGGGTTTAGGGTCCCCTCCGCTCACCTCTCATCTCCTCTCCTCCCGTCTGCACTCCTCTCCTCTATTCTCCTATGCTCTCCTCGGTTCTCCTCTTCGCTCCTCTCCTCTCCTCTCCTCTCTTCTGCTCTCCTCTGTTCTCCTCTCCTCTCTCACCTCTCTTCTACTCTCCTTTGCTGTTGTCTCCTCTCGTCTCCTCTATTCTCCTCTGCTCTCCTCGGTTCTCCTCTCCTCTCCTCTCCTCTCCTCTCCTCTCCTCTCCTTTGCTCTCCTCTGTTCTCCTTCCTCTCTCACCTCTCTTCTCCTCTCCTTTTCTGTTGTCTCCTCTCCTCTCCTCTATTCTCCTCTCCTCTCTTCTCGTCTCGTCTCCTCTCGTCACCTCTCCTCTCCTCTCCTCTCCTCTCCTCTGCTCTCTCCTCCTCTCCACGGCTCTGGGTTTAGGGTCCCCTCCGCTCTCCTCTCATCTCCTCCCGTCTGCACTCCTCTCCTCTATTCTCCTCTGCTCTCCTCTGTTCTCCTCTCCTCTCCTCTCCTTTCCTCTCCTCTCCTCTGTTCTCCTCTGCTCTCCTCTGTTTTTCTCTCCTCTCCTCTGCTCTCCTCTTCTCTCCTCTCCTCTCCACTCCTCTCCTCTCATCTCCTCTCGTCTCCTGTCCTCTGCTCTCCACTCCTCTCCCCACCTCTCCTTTCCTCTCCTCTTATCTCCTGTACTCTCCACTCCCCTGCTCTCCTCTCCGCTCCTATGCTCTCCTCTACCCTTCTCTCCTCTCCACCCCTCTCCTCTCCTCTGCTCTCTCGTCCCCTCTGTCCTCCTCTTCTCTCCTCTCCCCTCTTTGTCTCTCCACTCCCCTTCCCACTGCGCTCCCTCTCTCACTGAGACACCTTCTTGTCATCCCCCCTGTCACATAAGGAGATGGCGGAACCCTCGCACCTGTCAGCCCTGGAGGAGCGGTGGGTGGGGCGTGGCAACACAAGCGAGGTGCGGGAGGCAGGGCTCTCAGGGCTCAGCCCTATGGTTTGTTCCCTCACTGTACCCCTGCCCTTCCCGCGCCCGCCCCTATGTCTTACCCACCCCCCCCCCCCCCCCCCCCTCTTTCCCCCCCAATCTATTGACTTCCATGCCTGTCCAACCCAACCCTATACCCCCTCTCCATTTCATCATGTCAAAGGCGATGCCCGGTTGTTTGTCAAAGAAATCCCGTGTAGTTTGCCACGAATCTAAGTAATTCCCCCCTTCCCCCGTTACCCTCCCCCTAACCCCTAGGTAAAACAGCCTCGCAGCTCGGCCTGTTGAAGGAGATGTTCCGCTCTTCTTCCAAGACCATGACCCTGAGTCTGCTTGGCATAAGCGCTCGGTTCTGCAAGGGCCTCCAAAGGGATGGCAGTGGAAAAAATCGTGATACAGGGGTACTCTGTCTTAGAACTGAATGAATGATTGAGTAGTGAGAGAGTACAAGTGAATATACCTAAGTGTTGTACCCTCTAAGAGGTGACCCTATACAGTCTATGCAAACATTAGCGATACACATGTTTGACACTCTGCTCAGAGGGATATGATTGGGTTTTTGCATGAGCACCTGTACTCCGCAACAAGGGTTGCGGTAGGGGAGTCTGTGGCGTAGAGGGATCATAAGATCGGGAAGAGGATATGGGAAGAGTAGACCGAGACCAAGGCGAGGGAGACATAAGAGCAGGCCAATTAGAGGGGACATTGTGTACGTTTGGCGCAGGGTGGGGGGTAGAATACTCTGTGACCTACCCGCCATGATGTTGCATCGGTTTATCCATTCTTGGTGCGCCTAGCTCACACAGTAAATTCTCTCGCTGATCCTACCCAAAACATGTTGCATTCAGGATTATCCTTATTCAGCCATGCATATACATGGCTGGAAGTGGCCAACAAGAGACACATGTTGGTGCAACATCCAGTTGGACGGGATGTGTCATGTACGTATTGGACGCAGGGGTGGTGTCAACGTGCACTGTATGCCTTGCAAGTAAACATACGCTAGGTTCATCTAAAACCACTGGGACTAGGCATGTAGAACCAGCACGCCAAAAAACGTGTATGCAGCAGAGTGGGTGGTCTGAGAGGAACCATGGCTTGGAGCCAACATGCGTGACTTTGGCCCATCAGACAGAGGGAGGGGGGCTGCCAAAGTGATTGGAAGGGGGGGTGGTGGGGCACAAGGGGAAACTTATGAAGCAGCATGGAAAAGGAAGTGAACGAAGGGTTATGATGTGACTGGAGGCAATCCTGTGCAAAGAGGGGGGGTAACCCCCATCAGAGGGGGGCCAAGGGGAGTGGTAATGGTGCTTGGCAGCGTGGGGGGGAAACCTGGGGGCAAGAGCAGAGGGGTCAGCCTAAGGCATGCAGCCAAGGAAGTAAGGCGGGTGAAGGGGGAGGGGCAACAGATGGGGAAACTGTCGATTGTGAACCCTAGGTCATGCAGTTTGGGAAGATTAGGGAGGGGAGGTACGGAGGGGCAAGGGGAATGGTAATGGTGCTGGGAGGAAATCAGGACAAGTACAATGGAACAGCCCACGATAAGGCAAGGTGGGAGGGGGAGTGGGGAGGACGTGAGAAGATGAGGTAGGGTGTGAGAGTGTGCTGCGAGGTCACCTAAAGAGTAGGCGGGGTTGCTGCTGGTTTAGCGCCGGCGAGGCGTGGGGGCCGAAAGGGAATTTTGGGGGGTTTCCCGCTGCATGGCACGGGCCGTGCCCGTTTAGCGTGGGAGATTGGTGGAGTCGGCTGCGAAACAGATGGAGGGAAAAGGTGAGGGCGGAGGGGAAGGGGTATGGGGGAGACGGGGAAATGGGGGAGATGGGGAAAGCTGGGGGTGATGGGGAAAAGCTGGGGGTGATGGGGAAAACTGGGGGAGATGGGGAAAACTGGGGGAGATGGGGAAAACTGGGGGAGATGGGGGAAACTGGGGGAGATGGGGGAAACTGGGGGAGATGGGGGAAACTGGGGGAGATGGGGAAAACTGGGGGAGATGGGGAAAGCTGGGGGAGATGGGGAAAACTGGGGGAGATGGGGAAAACTGGGGGAGATGGGGAAAACTGGGGGAGATGGGGAAAACTGGGGGAGATGGGGGAAACTGGGGGAGATGGGGAAACTGGGGGAGATGGGGAAAACTGGGGGAGATGGGGAAAGCTGGGGGAGATGGGGAAAACTGGGGGAGATGGGGAAAACTGGGGGAGATGGGGGAAACTGGGGGAGATGGGGAAAACTGGGGGTGATGGGGAAAACTGGGGGAGATGGGGGAAACTGGGGGAGATGGGGAAAGCTGGGGGAGATGGGGAAAACTGGGGGAGATGGGGAAAACTGGGGGTGATGGGGAAAACTGGGGGAGATGGGGAAAACTGGGGGAGATGGGGAAAACTGGGGGAGATGGGGAAAGCTGGGGGAGATGGGGAAAACTGGGGGTGATGGGAAAACTGGGGGAGATGGGAAAAACTGGGGGAGATGGGGAAAACTGGGGGAGATGGGGGAAACTGGGGGAGATGGGGGAAACTGGGGGAGATGGGGAAAACTGGGGGAGATGGGGAAAGCTGGGGGAGATGGGGAAAACTGGGGGAGATGGGGAAAACTCGGGGAGATGGGAAAAGCTGGGGGTGATGGGGAAAACTGGGGGTGATGGGAAAAGCTGGGGGTGATGGGGAAAAGGCGGGTTGATAGGAGGGAAACAGGGGAGAACGGGGAATACAGGAGAAGATTTGACGGGAGAGCAGGGGGTGATGGGGAAAATAGGGGGTGATGCGGTATAGATGGGTTGATAGGGAAAGGGCGGGTTGATTAGTGGGAAACAGGGGAGAATGGAGAAAATAGGGGAATATTTGATGGGAGAGCGGAGGGTGATGGGGAAAGGAGGGGGTGATGGGGGAAGGAGGGGTTGACGGGGAAAAGGCGGGTTGATTGGAGGGAAACAGGGGGGAAAGGAGAAAACAGAGCACGATGCGATGGGAAAGCAGGGAGTGTTGGGGAATGCTGGGGGTGATGCGGCAAACAGAGGTTGACGGGGGAAAGAGGGTGATTGATGGGAAACAGGGGGGAAACGAGGAAACAGGGAAAGCTCGGGTTGAAAGGGGAGATTGGTAACACAAAACAGGAGTGGAAGGAGAAGGCGAAATCCCGCGCCTGGTTTGTCAACCCCGCCTCTCCCCTCAAACCCTAATATGGCGGCAAACGCACCCGTCAGCTCGGGTCCATAAGCAACGCCACCATTCTAGGCCGCCACGGCAGCTGGAAAGGTCACCATAATGTGTGGGGTGTCTCGCGTCTGTCGCGCAACCGAATAGGACAAGCATAGCCATACTGGCTAGCACGGGCGCACTTCTCTCGCAGGGTATCCTAAACCCCGCATGCAGCCGCAGAATCCCGTGCCTAGTCACAGAAGTCCGCGCCGTGTCACACCACCCTGCGCCTTGTCACTGCATTTTGGTTTCAGGGTCACTGAATCCCGCGCCTAGTCACGGAATCGCGCACCTATTCACGGAATCCCGCGCCTCGTCACAGAATCCCGCGCCTAGTCACAGAATCCCGCGCCTAGTCACAGAATCCCGCGCCTAGTCACAGAATCCCGCGCCTAGTCACAGAATCCCGCGCCTAGTCACAGAATCCCGCGCTTAGTCACAGAATACCGCGCCTAGTCACAGAATCCCGTGCCTGGTCACAGAATCCCGCGCCGCGTCGTGGAACCCCGCGCGTTGTCACTGCAGTCTGCGCCTAGTCACAGAATCCCGCGCCTAGTCACAGCATAATCACGCCTAGTCACAGAATCCCGCGCCTAGTCACAAAATCCTAGGAATCCTTGTCACATTGAATGTGCGCCTAGGCTCCCGTGCTCCTTGCCCCGTGTCTACCTGACGCGACGTTGTGTGTGGCGTCAGCGTTTCCGTCCCCCGCGTTCTGAGTTTGTCTCGCTCCGGTTTCAGCCCACCGACTCTGCCTTGGACGTTTCTGGTTCGAGGCGCGGACCTATCGCTGGATAGGTTCACGCTCAGCGTCTGCACCCGGCCTGTACTATCCGTGTCAGCGCCTTCGTCGCGCTTGTTATTGCACTGTTCGAATTCCGCTCCGCAATGCAAGAGTGCTGCTTGTTCCCTTGTACTAACAGAGGTTGGCGTTGGCCTGTGACGTTGGTGCCGAGTGGAATAGTGTCAACCTCCTCATTTGCCATCACCTGGAACAGTTGTGTATTTCCCGTTTTGCTCCCTGCAGGATGTGCTGGTCCCCTCTCGCCCTAACGTGCGACATTCCATCTGTTTCGCGTGCGTCCTTTTGTTTTCGCCTCACGCCCATTCCCAAAATCCGTTTCGCAAGTTTAGCGTGCACTGTTTTCATGGTCAGGATTCTTGTTTTCAAACCATTCTGAACTAGGGCTTTAACATCCGCAATTAAGCACAAATTGCGGATGACCTTTCTGGATAAACAATAGACTGGCCGTTTTTTAAGCCGTTCAGGGGAATTTATGATTCGGCAGTCTAAACCACAGCCATAACAATGTGAGAACGCACACTCAAATCTTGTACAATAAAGTTTTCAAGACTTCGAATCGGGGAGAATCTTTATTAAAAAAAAAAAAAAAAAAAAAAAAACAAACAAACCTTGCTCCCAAACAAAAAGGTAACCGGATAGCGGGGTTTTTTTCTGTGCGGTACACAGCGGTTTCCGACAATTTGTTCGAGGACAGCGAGAACACTAGAGTACGCAATTTGGGGTCGCTTCCAGGATCCGATTCCTTTTTTGTTCGTAAACGAGTACCGTTTGTTGAACTGTGTTTTGTGACGTCAACGACATGTACAGTCAGCCAAATGAACGCTCAGGACACGCCCTAACCGTCGCAGTCAGCCACACATTGAAATCCAGGCGGGTAACCATGGTTCTCGAAAACCCATGTTGCATGTGGCGAGTCTCGCTAAAACCAGACCCGAACCAGGTTTTGCCCGAAACCGAAATCCAACATTGATTTGATGGCGGAATTCGGTGGACCGTAGTCAGTGGACTTCCCGTGTTGCATTGCGAAGGTTTGGTTTTGGTTCATGTGAAACGGTTGTGGTATGTTCCTCGAAACAAAACAAAAAGTGTCGCACTCGTCACGTACGCAGGTAGGGCTTGGACATTGGAATGCAGTTATGGAGTATTTCAACTTCCGATTCATTGGAATTTCATCATCTTTCTTTTTGCAGGGCTCTCTATTCGCATCACCAAAATACGTTGACCCCAGCCTGACCCCCATATGACACGCAGGGCACTCTGGGGTTATTTTTGGGTCAGCTTGTTTAGGCCCATTTAGGGTAATTCCGCAGCGAGTGTAAGACCCGAGGGTTTAGCGCAAAGATCGGAGGCTGGAAAAAATGTGCCTCGGGTCTTGCGAAAAACTGACGGCTCTAGCCAATCAGCTATCAAATCGAACAACTAACAATGTCGCGCAAATGAACTTCCACCAATCATAACTTCGAAAATTCGGGCGGAATCGCAAAGTTCGGCCAGTATAGTCGCAACCCTCCCCTTGCGACAGTTCGCGACTCTGCAGCCGCTGCACCATTAAAGCCCCCCTCTCATATTTCCAAAGGTATTACCTTTGCTCGGGCAGGCGCGGCAATGATTGGGTAACGAGGAACGAAATTTGTGGTCACGAAACGAGGGGTCGGGCGAACCAACAAAAAGCTTGGTAGAAAACCCAACCACGAAGTGGAGGTTGGGGATCGCCCCCACCAAACCCCCAAACCTAAAATGTGTCGCCTGCCAGCTTGGCGCGTGCCTGGCAACACAGCCAAAACACAGACACCACCACCAACCCCTTTGCGAACCGATCGAACCCCCTCTGAACCAGGAACCACACCACCAACACAGATGCCGCCCAACTTCAGCGTCTGCGAAGAAGGCCCAGCGCCCCAGGCCCTACGCCCTACGCCCTACTCGCACCGTCCCGCACCCCTCCCCCCATCTCTGAAACTCCAAGTTTCGGAGCGTCGCTGAATTGGATTCGAGAGGTCGTGAGCATTACAAGAAACACAGTTCCTATTCTTGCGTTCCGATATCTCTACGACATGAAGGTCAGCATTCAGGGGCTTTCGGATCACAGGGCGACCCACCACACCAGAAATCCAGGCAGAGGGTAAGCTTTACCGCACGTAAAGTGTCACTCACCTGGTGCAGACGCGGGCGAATACTGTGACCTCGCAGCCCTACAATACAACAGGCACGCAAAAAAGACCTAAGGACTTCTGGTGACCGAAATACGGAAAATCATCTTCAGCGAGAGGGCACGAAGCTCCAAAACCATACTCGCGAGGACGAGAAACCCCTGACAGCCTACTCTATTACTTAGCGGCGTACTGGACACGTAATTGACCCTCCGCGAGGTCAGGCGCACGTGGGAGGGGAGAGAGGGCAGCGCGTGGAGTACGCCGCACAAAGAACGCATATTGTGGGAAGGTAAGTAGTACCATGGCGCAAAGCAGCGACCATAAAACGCGGCAAACATGAATCCGTTCCGCATCTATTTTGCCATCTCACCTCCCTCCCATTCTCCCCTGACTCCCTTCCGCCCCTGTTTTGCCATCTCACCTCCCTCCCTTTCTCCCTTGACTCTGTTCTGCTCCAGTTTTGCCATCTCACCTTGTGCTCTCTTTCTGTATGACTCCGTTCCGCCCCTATTGTGCCATCTCACCTCCCTCGCTTTCTCCTCTGACTCCCTTCCGCCCCTGTCTTGTCATCTCACCTCCCTCCCTTTCTCCCCTGACTCCCTTCCGCCCCTGCCTTGCCATCTCACCTCCCACCCTTTCTCCCCTGACTCCCTTCCGCCCCTGTCTTGCCATCTCACCTCCCTCGCGTCCTCCCCTGACTCCCTTCCTCCCCTGTCCTGCCATCTCACCTCCCTCCCTTTCTCCCCTGACTCCGTTCCGCCCCTGTCTTGCCACCTCACCTCCCACCCTTTCTCCCCTTACTCCCATCCACCCCTGTCTTGCCATCTCACCTCCCTCCCTTTCTCCCTGACTCCGTTCCGCCTCTGTTTTACCATCTCACCTCCCACCCTTTCTCCCCTGACTCCCATCCGCCCCTGTTTTGTCATCTCACCTCCCTCCCTCTCTCCCTGACTCCGTTCCGCCTCTGTTTTGCCATCTCACCTCCCTCCCTTTCTCCCTGACTCCGTTCCGCCTCTGTTTTGCCCTCTCACCTCCCACCCTTTCTCTCCTGACTCCCTTCCGCCCCTGCCTTGCCATCTCACCTCCCTCCCTTTCTCCCCTGACTGCCTTCCGCCCCTTTTCTTGCCATCTCACCTCCCTCCCTTTCTCCCTGACTCCGTTCCGCCTCTGTTTTGCCATCTCACCTCCCACCCTTTCTCCCCTGACTCTGTTCCGCCCCTGTCTTGCCACCTCACCTCCCACCCTTTCTCCCCTTACTCCCATCCGCCCCTGTCTTGCCATCTCACCTCCCTCGCGTCCTCCCCTGACTCCCTTCCGCCCCTGTCTTGCCATCTCACCTCCCTCCCTTTCTCCCTGACTCCGTTCCGCTACTGTCTTGCCATCTCACCTCCCATCCTTTCTCCCTGACTCCGTTCCGCCACTGTTTTGCCACCTGACCCCCCACCCTTTCTCCCCTGACTCCCATCCGTCCCTGTCGTGCCATCTCACCTCCCACCGTTTCTCTATCACTCCGTTCCGCCTCTGTTTTGCCATCTCACCTCCCACCCGTTCTCCCCTGACTCCCTTCAGCCCCTGTCTTGCCATCTCACCTCCCCCCCTGAAAGGGTGGGAGGTGAGGTTGCAACACAGGGGCGGAACCGGTTCAAGGGAGAAAGGGTGGGAGGTGAGATGGCAAAACAGAGGCGGAACGGAGTCATGGAGAAACGGTGGGAGGTGAGATGGCGCGCGCCTTGAACACAAGCGGGTCTCTAGGGGGGCGCTTCACCTTGAAGAGCCACCGGCCATCGACTACGTTCACCCCAGGTGGGGGAACTACGTCAACGTAGGTGCTGGTGGATCTCCAAGATGCCATCTCTTGCTCCATGGCAGCTATCCACTGAGAGGCCCAGGGTCCCGAGGTCGCCTCAGCGTAAGTGCGAGGGGTCGGGATGTCAAGGGCGTTCGGGTCACCTCAAGGACTAGCAGCATGGAGCAGAGATGGGGAGCAGCCTCGGACAGGAAAGCAAGCTCGAACTGCCTGTCCTCTAGAACGTCACTGCCAAGGGTAGACGCACCCCCAACGGACGGAATCAGCAACAGCAGCAACAAGAGTGTCAAGACTGGAGGCAGGAACGGACGGGTCGGTAACGAGGGAGGCAAGGACCCGAGGAACGAGAGGAATAGCGGCACGAAGGAAGTCTGACAGAGGAGGCGGAGCGACAACAAGCGAGGACGGAGGAGGCGACGGGAGGAGGGGAGGACGAGACGCGTGGGAACATAGCAACATGGGGTGAGAGCGCTGAACAGGAGAGACAGGACGGGCACGAGAAGGATGGCGAGACCAGAAATGGGACGGAGGCGTTGGGTCAGGAGACACAAGAGGAGACACAGGAGGAGAACGAGGGGGGAAACGAGCTGGAGACGAGTTTGGCAGCGGAAAAACAGTGCCGTAGACAGGCAGGGGAGGCGGCTGTAGGGGAGGCGCCGCTGGGTGGTCAGGGGAGGGAAGACAGAGGAGGCGAAGGGCGGACATCGGCTGCGACTACTGCTGCAGCTGCTCCTCCAAGCTGACACCAGAACCTCCAGCTCCACAACGGCTACCTCCAGGACTCTCCAAACCAACACCCTCAGGACAAGAACCCCCTCCAACACCGATGCCAACCCCATGACTACCAACCCCCGGACCAGCACCCCCAGAACGAATACCCTCCCGAGCACTGGTGCCACCTCCAGGACCGCCGGGACAGGCCACGACAGTAACCCCAGGACTAGCACCCTGCTCAACGCCCGCACCCCCAGAGCTGGCGGACCCCTGCGGCGGCTGCTGCTGCGGCGGCGGCGACTGCAGCTGTTGCTGTGGCTGCAACGACGGCGACGGCTGCGACTGCTGCTGCTGCGGAGACGGCGGAGGAGGAGACACCGGGGCGGAGACAGGCGTCGAGAACGGTGCCGCGGGGCCACCAGAATCAGCCGACTCCTCGACCGGGACAACCGACGGGAGGGAAGTGACGTGAGTCACACTAGACA